TAACTATCTACATTCTTTGAAATCACTATATAGAGATTCTGTGAAAACAATTATTTTCAACTTACAGAGTTAAAGTTAAATGTGGGGGGGGGGGGGGGGGGGTAGTCTAGGGGGGGGGGGGGGGGGGGGGGGGGGGGGGGGGGTCATTACCCAACATGAGAGATCCATAACAATATTCCCCCCCCCCTCCAAAAAAAGAGGAGGGGGGGGTCAGAACCAACATTGAGAGATCCTTAACAATTTTACAGAATTAAATAAAAACAAATCTGGTTAATATATATGAAAAGTCATTGCAGTTAATTTACGTAGTCTTGTTTCACTGAAAATATATTTGAAAACTCACTGAAATTGATTTAAGTAGTCTTGTTTCACTAAAAATATATATGAAAACTCACTGAAATTAATTTAAGAAGTCTTGTTTCACTAAGAATATATATATGAAAACTCACTGAAATTAATTTAAGTAGTCTTGTTTCCCTGAGAATATATATGAAAATTCACTGAAATTAATATAAAAAGTCTTGTTTCACTGAGAATATAAATTAAAAGTCACTGAAATTAATTTAAGTAGTCTTGTTTCACTGAGAATATAAATGAAAAGTCACTGAAATTAATTTAAGTAGTCTTGTTTCACTGAGAATATAAATGAAAAGTCACTGAAATTAATGTAAGTAGTCTTGTTACACTGAGAATATATATGAAAAGTCACTGAAATTAATTTAAGCAGTCTTGTTTCACTGTGTCTGTGTGTGTGGTTGCATGTGTATCTGTGTCTGTCTGTGGCTGTGCGTGTCTGTGTGGGTGGCTTTGTGTGTATCTGTGTGAATCTCTATGAGTGTTTATCATATAATGTCTGTGTGTGTGTGGCTTCATGGGTATCTGTGTGTGTGTCCTTTGGATAATGTGTGTGCATCTGAACGTGTGTGTCTGTGTGAGTGTTTGTGCATCTATGAGTGTACTGGAATGTATGTATATGTGTATGCCATTATGTGTCTGTGTGTGTGGCTGTGTGTGTATCTGTGTCTGTCTGTGGCTGTGAGTGTCTGTGTGTATGGCTTTGTGTGTATCTGTGTGTTTCTCTATCGGTGTGCCTATTATATAATGTCTGCGTGTCTCTGTTTGTGTCGGTTTAAGCGTCTGTGTGTATGTGTGTGAGAGTTGCGTATGTCTATGTGTGTCTGTGTGTTTCCTTGCCCGCGTGTGTGTATGTTTGTGTGTGTGCCTGTGACTGCATGTGTGTGTGTCTGTGTGGGTTTATGTCTGTGTGCGCCGGTGTTTGTGTTTGTATGGGTCTTTTTGTGCGGCTGCGTGAATGTATGTGTGTGTGTCTGTGTGGGTTTACGTTTGTGTGCGTCAGTGTGTGTGTTTGTAAGGGTCTTTTTGTTCGGCTACGCATGTGTATGTGTTTGTGTGTATATCTGTTTGTGTCTGTATGTGTCTGGGTTGTATGTGTGTGTGTTTTAGAGCGTGTGACTGTGTGTATGAGTGTGTGTGTATATATATATATATATGTACTAGTGTGTATGTATATGTGTATGCATGTTCGTATGTATGTGGATGTATGCCTGCACACATATTTTACCACACATGCTTTTGTTTTTGACTTGATATTTATAATATGCATTTTATTACATGAACATAAACATGCTTTATTGATGAGATACAACTGCTGTGTGAAAGATGAGAGTTTGGAAGGGCAGAATGTAAGACAGGCCTGCGTGCCTAATTTGTAACCCTTTGAAAATAAAGTTTGTTCGTTCATTTGTTCGTTCATTCGAGAATCTAAGAGACAAAACTTGACATCCTTTTTGTAACAGGAACTTTTCAAATGTAAACTACATAGATTAACATGAACTAACAGGCTAATGTTTTTAATGGTGAATCGTTATGAAATGCTGCCTCAAGATAATAACTAATTATAAACGTTTGTCAAATGATAATGACAATCCAAACACACATGCAAAATATTACAATAAACATACAATGATTCTAACAAACAAAAACTATTCCCAACAAACATGCAACAATTCCAAAAAAAACATGCAACAAACAAAACAAAAATATAAAAATCCCAAAAACATGCAGCTATCCCAACAAGCAAGGAATATTCCTAACAAACATGCAACAAACCCAACAAAAATGAAGAAATTCCCATAAAAATGCCTATAAACATGCAAAAATCAGAGCGTAAGGAAACATGCCATAACATTTAAACTTATACTTTATGCATGCTGTTGAGCCTAAGAAAATTTAACATAAAATTCTTTTGTTTGATACCATCTTTTTTGTCTTTCCAGATAATAGGGTTTTCTTCTGCCTTCTATCCTCCAGTGGAGCACAAGCCCTCAACCAACTCACGCCATGTCGTTCTATGCTTCGCTATCGCATGCAACTCTTCCCATGTCCTCCTCATCTTTTTAGTCTCACTCTCTAGCTCCCTTCTCCATGTGTTTTTGGTCTTCCTCTTTTTCTGTCTTCTGTGGATTCCAGTGCAAAGGCATTCTAGTTATACTGTTCTCAGGCTGTCTCAACGTGTATTCTATCCACCACCAGCGTCTTTTCTTCACCTCTTGGTCCACGGGAACCTGTTTAGTTCTCTCCCAAAGCTCTACATAAGTGATTTTATCATACCCTTTTTTTCTGTCTATTCTGAACAGGCACCAGTTAAATAATATTTGTAGTTTATTTGTAACTGCCTTAGTTGTTCTCCACGTTTCCGCTCCATACAACAGCACTAATTTGGGATTAGAATTAAACATTTTAAGTTTAGTATTAGTTTTAATTTCTGTTGACCTCCACAAATTCCCTAGTGCTATGAAAGCTCCTCTTACCTTTTGTATTCGATTTTAATATTTCTATCAGTTCCTCCATCTTTATGTACATTACTGCCCAAATAGTTAATACGACACCACATCTTGGAGTGGGATACCATTAACTCTTTGAGTCCCAGGGGGTTTAGCATCACAGGCCCAGGGGGTAGTAAATAAAGTCATAAAATCGGCGCATCATGCGTTCATTGAGCTTCGAGGTAGAAACCTATGAACGTATGATGCGTTCCTTGGGATTCAGAGAGTTGAGAGAAATCACACTGCTATTTTCCTCATTTATTCTCATTATCTTTGTCTTTGCCTTATGATGATAGTATTGTGAGGCGTGGGACTCACAACCCATGATGACAGCAAGTATGACTAGCAAGACCTGCCCGCATCAAGAAGAGTTTACCACTATTAGAGCACTGGATTTCAGGACTATTGTTTCTATATTTACTTAGTGTGCTTCTTCTCAGATGTTCAGCTTTCATCCTTTCTGCATTTGATTCTCCCTTCACCCTCCTTCCCTTCCTGATTTGCCACATTTACACAACATTGTCTGTGGCATTTATATAAATTTTATCAATAAATTATTATAAAATGCTGAAAGATCTATAAGAACTGAAAAAGATGAGAGCCATAGCAGTCTTCCTCTACACTTCCTCTTTTCAGTGGCGTAACCGGTGTGGACAATTTCTTGTTGCCACCCCCTTCCACATATTATATTTATTTATTATATACGCACATAATTTCAAATTTCATTAACCCCCTCCGTGATGACACCAAGTGCGGCTGGCACCCCCTTTCCTATACCACTGCCTCTATTAGCACATCAGATTTTAAGGGAAACACATGGTTCTGCTTCTGGTTCTTCTGGCTACCTCGACCACAGACACATCATGCTGTTTTAGAGTTTAATTAATGGTATCTTTTATTATTCTTCTTGGTCTTCCATGTGCTCTACCTCCATTTCTTTTGGTGTATGCCTTGTATGGTGTGACATCACAAGGTATTCTCTCTAAGTGTGAAAACAATTTGACCAGCTGTCTTTGTATGTAATTTAGAATTGGTGCTGTGTCAACTTTTTTCTCTTATGACCTTATTTCTATTTCAATCTCTTCTGATCACTCCTGAAGCCCTTCTCATATATCTCATTTCCATGGTTACTAATTTTCTGTTTTGGTTTGATGTGAGTGACCATGTCTGGCACTGGTAGCATAGAGTGGGAACGAGTATGCTTTTGTATAAAATGTTTCTTTGTGCTGATCAGGATTGTTTTATGCTGTAAGAGGGAGGGTCTATATTGGTTTGCTTTACCATTCTGAAGGTAATTTCTTCATCAAATTGTATATCTTCTACCAAGAGATCTATAAAAATCTATCACTAAAATTAACAGAAGTCAAGGTAGTGTTGTGACTAAAGTCTTGACTATCATACTAAAGATTTTGGGTTCAAATCTGCAGTGAAACAGATTTTATGATACCACCTAGGTCTAGGGCTCTTAGATCAGCCAAGTCTTAATAGGTACCAGAAAATAATCTTGGACAAAAAGTGGTGACCATATTACCAATTACCAAGTTTTCTCATGTATGTCCTATTCAACATCAGTGTCTTCACCTCTTGAATCAGAGGTATTTGTTTAGTTCTCTCCCAAAGCTCCACTTTAATTATTCAGTGATACCAATTAATTCCCTATATTTTATTGAACGTTTGTTACTATTTACTATTATTATGAACTGTTTTTAGACAACAACAGTAAATAATTATTTAAAGAAACACATCAGACCTAACATTTAAAGCATGAAAATATCAATATCCAGTACAACCTAAAAAATTGTAGAGCATAAAATAACAGAGATAACCCCCAAAAAAGCTGGCAAACACTGCCTCTTTAGTGCAACTAAACATTCAAACAGCAGGGGTGAAAGTGACACTAAATAAAACTTGTAAATGTTAGTGAAAACTAAACTTTCAAATAAAAACACAAAATTAAAGAAATGCCCCCCAACGCACTTTTTTCCATTATAAAAAAAAACAAAATCCCTCAAACGTGCAAACTGTATTTAATGCACACAAAAAGTATACACACAAATAAAGCTTGCAATCAGTGCCTATTCAGTGCAAACTAAAAAATTCAACAGCTCAAAATAACAGGAATAACAAAGAATAATACTTCTGTACTAACACTGTCTACTCTGTGGGAGAAGGACATCGTGAGGCAGCTGACCAGGCCAGTCCAGCTTTGCGTCCAGCGAACAAAATCCCTTCAAATACCTCATCTCTATTCATGATAGCTCCAAAAATGTATGGCTGTAGAGATGGCCCAGATTTGTATATTTTGATAAGAAACATTTTTGTTACTGATAAACACACACTCCTGAAAAACCTGGTCACAATTACATCATTACATTAGGCATGTCAATTACAAAAGCTGATGATATCGATGATTGGAGAACTCACACAAAAATTATTGAAATGTCACGAGCAATGAATTTACAGGTACCGATATGAACTCTTGCACATGTAACAATGGCTGATGGCAGAAGTGAAACAGGAAATGTTAAAAAAAAAAAAGGTGATCAAAACAATTGTTAACATAAAAAAATTATTAACATCTATACACATAAACAACACTGAAAAAGTGAATGGGTAAATATATTCTTGAACCCTTACTGCATGATGCAGATAATCTGACAATGAACACTCAATTAGAAAGTTTAAATGAATCTTTAAAGATGTGGAAATAAACAGAGGTTCTGAAGAGACCATTTGAAAAGAGAGTTGATGAGGGGGGGGGGGGGGGGGGGGGGGGGGAAAGGGTGTAAGTGAAATATTTAAACACTCATAAAAGATAAAGCATTCTTGCACACACAAATGTATAGAAAAGTTAAAAGTAAGTGTGCAAGAGCTATACAGCAATACTTCTTCTCATTCTTTGCATTTACTGGCTGTAAACTCCAGCAGAAAGTTCTGGTAATGTGTCCACTTGTGGACTCTTATCCTGTTCCAGAACCTAGGTGTTGCATGCATATCCGTTTTACAGATCTGTCTCATCTATATGCAGACTGTTAGTTCCCTGCCTTTAAGCAGACACACTCCGATTTAAAAGAAGCTCCCAATTAGTCGACTCCTATCACATGCTTCTGGGTGGGCAAAGGGTCTATTCTTGTTTTCCCCACAATGGGACCCCTAAATTCGCACGCAGAAGACAGCAATAGATCAAGAGATGTACAGTACAAAGAGACCGTACAAGCAGGACAAGAGAGAGTTTTGGAGATACATTCACTGTGAAGACAGCACAAAAATGATTTATTCAAACTCATCATCAACAACAAAAGAATTAGGGATAAGAGAGGCACTATAAAAAGAAACACTGCATAGGACTTAGCAAACTTAGATCTGAACCTGCTAACTACATATGTCATCTTCTTCTTTTGTATTTGCCCTTTAAAGAGTGATTGGAATTATGCTGTAGTCTACAGCTAGGCTGTGACATCTGCATTTTTTAACTTTTAGATCCGATTTACGCAAATCTCTTAATTAGTTGCTTTTTATGACACACTTGTTAAAGGTTAAGGAGCTGTAGATTTAGCTCACAGCCGGTATCCCACCCCATGGGTCATAAAATCCATATGAAGGTATACATGACACAAAAACCTGCATCATTAGCGTTAATGATTTGACAATGTAGAAAGAACCAGTTTATCACAATGTTCTAAAGAATCCCACAGACAGTTACTATCATTAGCAATCCCTCTTTTCAACTTCTGGTCCAAAACTGAATTTCATGGACTTCATAGAACCAATGATTTCCTTCAAATTTGTTCACCAATAAATCAGCAAGTGTATTGTGTGTGTTTCCATGTGAGCGTGCACTGGTACAAGCAGGTACATATTGATATTAGGAGCAAAAGCATCTACACCAAAATTACAAACAGATTAACCGGAGTGTCAATAAACTGGATTTAAAAAATAAAACTCACATTTTCCAGAAGCTTTGCCAACTAACCAAACAACGAGAAATAAAAATTATTGACAAACCTGGTACATCTAAACTTTTCCTGGTCACTAAAATATCTTAGGTATCCTGTAGACCAGCTTGTGATATTTTCTTATTATGAGAGTATTTAATACACTTCACTGCAGTAAATCAGGTGATTGTAGTTTTTGTTTTGTTTTTGTTTTTAGTGAGCCACCTATGAGGCAACAGATAAGCTGCATACAATTACCAAGCCACATAAAATTAACTGCAGCATGCAGTAATGCACTGAATCTGTGTGAAGGAAATAAAGTGAAGCAACTGAGAGGCAAACATTTTGTTTCAAAAATAAAGGTGGACATACTAAGCAAAAGAAATTTAAAAACTGTGGTCGACAGGCTTTAAAGAAAGTAAAAAAAAACATCAGTGAGCTAGACACACAGCAACAGAATTAGAGAAAGAGTCATTATAAGAAAACTGAACAATCTTGCTGAAACATTGTGTGCTCTTTTGTTTAAAACAAAAACAAGCTGAAACATATTAAGGATAAGTGAAAGCAATACACACAATTCAGCAGCAAGCCAAACTGAATGATAACTGGAAATTAAGTAAGTAATATCAATAAAAGAATGTTGCTATTCGACATCAAGTGGCCTTTCTATTCATGTCGGTCCTGAGGCCCCAAAGTGGGGAAAAAAGGAATGGGGGTAGACCCACAAGTCGTACAAGACAACTGATTATAGAGGAATTTTCTTTTGAGGCTGGCGTGCATATGCATGACGTGGGCAACCAATAGTGTTCATACAAACAAGCCTGATCTGCAACTCGAACACACTTCATTTTCATAGAGCCAATGATTTCCTTCATATTTGGTCAACACTCAAGTTCTAGAACAAGACAAAGTCCAGAAATCCACAACAACTAGAACTTTTCGCTACAGTTTACAGCCGGTGATTACTAAAAGAGAAGAATGATTGCTTCTTCTTTAGCATTCACAGCCCTAGATTTCACTGCTGCAGGATAACACACGCCTCCATTCCTCTCTGTGACTGGCCTTATCTTTTCAACTGACTACAAGTGTCTCTAGATCCGCCTGAATGTTGTCTCTATACCACGCAGTTTTTCTACTTCTCTATCCCAACTCAATGTACTCAAGGAAAATGTGAATATACACATTTAGTGATCCACTATAGATAGAACTAACTAACTTCTGTGTTCGCCCTTGAAAGGATGATTGGTAGATTGTGTTGTGGTTTTACAGCTAGGCTGTGATATCCGTGCTTTCAAGTTTTCAACAAATCCTTAATTAGTCACTTTTTATGTTTTAATAAATATCATCATCATCATCATGTGGCAGGTCCTTTGCAGAATGTCGCTCTCATCATGGTCTGCCTGAAAGAAACTCGGTCTCTCGCCAGCTTTCCCGCCTCATGCACTTTCATACTCAAGGAAACACTTATATCCTGTGCCCACTTTCATGTTGGTCGGCCCCTGCCCTCTTTCTTGGCACCATGCCCTCTGCTGTAATTTTTTTTAATCCGTCATGGCGCTTGATATGACCAAAATATTTCAGCTTCCGAGAAAGGGTGCTGTTTATTAGCCAATCTTCCTTGATGTTCAGATCTTTTAGGATGTCAGTATTTCTCCTCTTTTTTCGTCCAAGATATTCTGAGAATCTTTCTATAGCATTTCAGCTCAAAAGCCCCTATTCTCTTTCTTAAGGACTGAGAGACAGTCCATGACTCACATCCGTATGTAGCCACAGAGAAGATGCATGCTCTCAAAATTCTAATTTTGATCTCCTTGCTGGTGCTTAACCATAGACTTTTTAGGTTGTTTCTTAATAAATATAGTTAGCAAATATAAGCTATTAAATTAGTTTTGTTTTTTAAATGCACCAAAAATGTACACATACACACACACAAAATAAATTAGCTTTTAACAATATGTTCCGCCGTGCAGTGCATCTATTAAAGGGAACATATATCAAAAGAATTAATAAATAAAGAATATGTGGTAGATCGCTTAACAAATTGCATGGTCCATGACACTGAGCTACAACTTGATATCAGTGAGACAACAAAAGAAGATGGCCCATATGACACAGTTACAGCTAAGAATTATTAAACAAAGTGTAGACACAAAAAAATAAAGAGTGGTTTATAAAAAACTTAACTATAAGTTTATGAAACAAGTAAAGATAATAACAATTAAAAAGTAGTATATGAAAAATTAAAACCGTATATGAGACATTTAAGAAGTATGAAATATATTTATGTAATAGTACACACACAAAATTAGAGAGATGTAAATGGAACAAGGTTAAAGAGCAGTAAATTAAACAGAAGTTTTAAAACATCAATTAAAAAGTCATATATAAAACATTTTTAAAGTATTATTCGAGACAATTAAAGAGAAGTATGTGAAACATAATTTAAAAATCAATGACAGTAAGTAGGAGTGATCGGAGTCAAACCAGTATCTAGAAGTATCTAGACGCAAAACTATGACAAGAAAGTTCAGTGAAGGGAAAGGAAAAGACTCGAGTAAATACAACTGACCATTCTGACAAGAGTTTTTATCAATGGACACAAAAACAGACTAATTAAACAACCAAAATGGTCAAACTGAAACAGGAAATATGTAGCAAAAGAAAATATAGACAGGAAGACATATACAATAAAATATGCATGAATCAGCAGGAAAAGAAGGGAAAATTAATTTTTTTTTAATTAAAAAAAATTAATAAAATTAGATAAAGGTATGCTAAACATTAATCCCTGCAGGAATGAGAATGCTTAAACTATGAATTAGATTAATTTTTCAAAGAGAGGTGGCTAGAACTCATTTCTATTAGTCTGGTACAAGTTCTGAGACTTTTTGAATTTTTTTTTTTAAATCCTGAAATGCCAGTACACAGTTTTAAACAATGTACCAAAGAGCAAGATGAATGGGAAAATACACATCTCCTAAATAAGTCATTAGGACAGTTGATACTGATGACTATATTTTGCCACCTTAAATGTGAAAATTTAAACAAACGCACAAAAAGTTCTTAAAACTGCTTTTGTCATGTGGACAAGAAAAAGTGCATTAAATAAAATATCAGCAGTCTTCTAACAGTACCCTAAAGATAAAGGGGGTAAAGCCAAAACAGTTAATGTGAGGCAAATGCTCATTAGGTGATCTGTTACAAAAACTCTGGGTTAAACAAAAATGATGCAGCTGATCTCAGACAGTGATTAGAAGGTGCTAGTGCTAGACAGCAGGTTTTAGTAATCAATACTTGCCTCAGTTTGCTGAAACAATGTAGTGGTTGTCAGAGGAACATTAATACATGGTGGTGGAAAATGTAGCCGTCAGATATATATTTAATAAACAATGATGACAAATGTAGCCATCAGAAGTACATTATTAAACTGTGGTCACAAATGTAGCCATCAGAAGTATGTTAATAAACAAATGTGGCTATTGTGGCCTCAGAAGTATATTAATAAATAGTTGTGGCAAAATGTAGTCATCAAAAGTATATCAATAAACAGGGGTAGCAAATGTAGCCATTAGATGTATGTTAACAATTAGAAGTGGTGGAGAAGGTAACCTCAGAAGTATATTAATAAACAGTGGTGGCCAATGTAGCCATCAAAAGTATACTAATAAACAGTGGTGGCAAAATGTAGTTTACAGAAGTATATCCATAAGAAGTGGCAGCAAATGTAGCCTCCTAAGTATATTAATAAACAAAAGTTAAAATGTAGCTATCTGAAGTATAATAATAAATAGCAATTGAAAACATAGTTATCAGAAACATTAAGCAACATTTCAATGTTTTAAAAAAAAGGTAACAGAAAGTTGACTAAAATGAAAAGAAAAATAGTAAAATGGCATTCAACTGTATATGTATGATAAATAATGTTAACACAAGTCAAATAATAATTTACAAACTCCAAACAGGCAAATTAAAAACACAACTCTAATGTAAATACTTTAAGAGAAAAAAAAAATTAAGACAGCACATTTGAGAGTAGCAGCTGAAAATGTACTGATGTCAAAATAATACTCTCATGCAGAAAAGGCATACATGCAGCATCAGAAGTTGCTACCTTCTTTTCTTTGTGTGAAGCCGATAGGAAACTACTAGAACTCCCACAATTATTTAATGTAATACATTTAAAAATTGAGTGTGAGATATTTAAATCATTAAAATATGTGTAAACAGTATTTTTTAAACCTTAAACTGAGCTGGTTATATACTCAAACAAAAAACAAAATAAGTAGCAACAACAAAACAAAAAATAGTTCAACTTCCATGTTATGAGGCAGTTTGGATGCGTGAGAGCTGGTCCTGTTTTCTTATGGACCAAACAGGCATATCAGCTTACTGTCCATGTTTAATATGCATACAGTATCTCTGCTTCTATGGAAACAGAGTCAGACATTATAACTGATGCCCAAGCAAAATTGCAATATTCTAAGATGCCAAAGAGATATTAAAACAGCCAGCAAACAAGCATGTGTGTTGTAGTCAGGTAGAACACTGACTATCAACTGTCATCACCTCCATATGATCATAGGGACAGACAACTCTGGTTGACTCAGAGAGGATTCAACAACTGTTTAATTTAATGATGCAGATGACCAGCAGCCGAGTCTTACATACATAATTTTGCTCAGAATGATCGGGTTCTTTGTCTCCTTTTTATACTTCTTCTACTTCATCTTCTTCTTTTGTGAAAGCCCTTAAAAAGGTCGTTGGCACACTCAACTGTGGTTTTCAGCTAGGCTGTAGTAAATGCACCATCCAGCAAAATATCAAATTTCAGCAAACCCCTAATTGTTCACATTTTATGAAAGGCTTGTTGACGGGAGAAGGGAGGGAATGTGTCCTTTCTTACTCGAAAAAGCCCTCTAGAATCCACATGGAAAGGTTCGTTGCCTAACTGGATAGAAACCAATTATCTCGACCTTACCTGAGTCAGTTCCTTGAAGCATTTAACTCAATATAACTGAGATCACAGCAACACCAACTGAAGAAAATAAATAATGAACAGAAGTCAGCCACTACGTGTTTGTTGACAGACATTTAGCACAGCAATACGAACCTTTTCATTTCCAACAACAGCAATTTCAATGGCCATTCCCCCACCAGGCATCCAACTGTACGGCTTGGCCTGAGGATAAAACATTTAATGTTTCAAAGAGTTACGCTTGTGTTAAGGACATTGTCAGATCCTATAAGATCAGGTGCCATGTTAACATTAAAGATCGACTGAAACAGACCTCCATTACTCTCAAATTAAAAGACCCATCTCTGTGCCTTGAAGCGTATTGGTAACATGGGGATTGCACTATGTTTCATAAACCAAACAGCATGTAGTGGGTGATACAGTCAGTATTCCAAAAGTTGACTTACTTCCTTGGACATTTCCCAGTACCGTTTTTGACTGGGTTGACTAGGAATGGGGGTTTCTATGACTGTCGGACTGGTACAGCCCATAAGGCTAGATTTCTATTTGAAATTTCTGCCCCCCTCTTGCATGTTCGCCTTCTGACTCATATTATGGTTTCCAATTAAGATTATGTCTCAAACTTGTTAGCTGTGTGATTTTAATACATCCACAAAACTTTATTAAAACAATATGAACGATAAACCACAATTAATGACCAAGAAGGGCATACATTTTTATCACATTTTCATTCTAAGTGATCATGTGTTTTGGATTATCATTCCTATTTTCTTCAGTGATAAAAACCATGATTGAAATATTTTGCTGTCTGTGTCTTTTCCTTTCTTCCACTGAGCTTCCTCATCTCAGTCTGTTTTGTGTTAATTTACTTCTTAATAATCAGCTTCACTGCAGTCAAGTGCATTTCAACGTTCAGGCAAATATCTCTTCTTCTGTTTCCTAGCATGTGCAATTAGGATGGTTATCTTGTTTCATGTTGGGACAGGCTTTATGCCTCTTTGCTGAGAATGTATTGCTGCTTCTTCCACTGTAAGATGGCTATGTGTTTATCTAATTCATTCTAAGGCAGACTAACAACTTACTGCAGGATTTCTCTAAATTATATGCTAGGTCCAAAAAGAGGAGTCCTATAATGAAGGCATCAAGATGATGAAGAAGAAGCAGGAGGAATGTATCATCTTGAGGAGTAATCAGGCATCATCAGGTATGTAGCCTGACTTCACAGTTTTATGCAGGATATTTCAACTACCTCTTAAGTTGTAGAAACTTCACATTTTTAATAGCTAGGTAGAAAGATATCATTAAAGAAATTCTACAACAGGATTGTTTGTTTTAGTATCCAGAAGCCATGAGTTGTTAACACATAGGCTCGGTATTAGGGATATTGCAACCTTTCGGCCTTGACTCCAATTTAAATACCGTAAATCTGGGAGAAATGTGGCTTTTCTGCCCACCCCTGGGAGTGAACCCAGACCACAAGGAGTTCGTCACTCGCTCACTGCGCAATCCGGTTTTAGTCAAGTACGCTAGAGAGACAGGCTCTACAACAGGATATAAAGTGGATCTGAATGGGGCGTTCAGAACAGCAGGAACCAGAACCTTGTATCCCTAGAACCCAAACAATTAAAAGAGGAAGTTAAGGATACATACTACTACTTTGTGTTTGTGAAACCACTCATGTTTGAGAAAGTTCACACACTGCCATTCCTCAAATGCTGAGGAAATCTTTGCCCTTTCATTTAGATTCTTACCTTTTCCAGTCGAGCTATGTCAGCAAGAGGAATGACAATATTCTTTGGTGAAGGCACTTTTGTTCTTTCAAAGCACAGAAAACTGTAGTAATTAAAAAAAAATTAAAAGATCAAATAATAATAATAGAGACAATTTTACTGTCATAAAATGCTGATAAAATTAAGCAAGTATCTGATAGATGAAATACATAATGAAGAATATGAAGAATGAAATGCATTAGTTCTTAACTATCATAAACATAAATGTTTACTAAGATATAATTTGCAAATGTTTAAAGTATATTTAAAATATCACTTTACTCGAATGAGAAACATTATGTTTACGCTTATATTCAAAACTATATATTAAAAAACAATGATCAGTGTTTTTTTTTAAATCACAACTTTGACATCTCATTTCAAACAATACCAAGCAACACTAAAACTATCACATTAAAAAAAGTAGAAAATGTGGACATGTTAAAAAAGAAATGTCCAAAATATTAAATAGCAGAGAAAAAAGTAAATGAGAATTTAATGCATTAAGAAGCAACATTTTGGGTAAAATATACATATTTTCTAGACATAGTTAAGTATAGCGCTATTTGTACCCCAGTGTGTGTTAAGTATGTGGTGCTAGACAAAAATATTTTTATACACCAGTCAGTATTCAATGGGTAACAATGTGGCTATACTCACTTTCCGTAGCATTTAGCATTTCCTGGTACCAATATTAATCTGAATTAACACAGAAGTCAAGGTCTATTTTATATACGAAGGGATCTCATAAGTAAGTGACAAAAGGTTGTTTTTTAAAAAAAAGCCTAAAGATGATAACAACTTGAAAATCATGTATTTTTTACACATATACTATCCCTTTATTTTTCAACATAATTTCCACCAACAGTGATGCACTTGTCTCATTGTTTTATCAGTCCTCCCAAAGCTGCTGCATAGAAATGTGTACTCTGTTGTCTAAATCACATTTTGTGTTCATCCATCAATTGTCTGGGTACTCACTTTGAGCACTTTCTCAAATTTGAATGGATCATGCATTATGTGGTATGCTAAACCATGTGAGAACCCTATTACAGCTGCTACAGAGTCAACCGTTACTCGCCTGTCACCTCTAATTATCTCCTCCATCCACTGCACGGATGCATCTGTTGCAATCTCAACAAGGTGACCAAATCGAGCTTCATCAACAATTTTAGAGCGCCCTTGAGAAAAATTGTTACCCAACTCTGCAACCGCTTTACGGTATAAATATTTGTCAGCATAAACAGACAGCATAACTATATCAAGAGCTTCCTACAAGACCGAACCTTCTCAGTAGCAGTCAAAAACGAAAGGTCGGCAATCCACAAGCAAGAGAACGGCACCCCACAGGGCTCGGTGATTTCCCCGGTTATCTTCTCCATCCTCGTGAACGATCTCGCGGAGGCCATAGGGGTCGACAATGTCGGTCTGTCCCAGTACGCTGACGACTGCGCAATATGGTGCTCTAGCGTCCTCATAGAACACGCCGTCGATCAGCTGCAGGAGGCGGCCAACAATGTAGCAGGATGGATGGAGAAGTGGGGCTTCAGAATCAACCCAACGAAATCCGTCCAAATGATATTTCACTGGAAAAGGAAATGGTGGGCACGTAGTGACTCTGAAACCCGCATCGTGATAAACGGGCAAAGAATACCGAGGAAAACACAAACGACATTCCTAGGAATGCTACTTGACCAACAGATGAACTGGAACCCACACATAAAGCAAACCATCACCAGATGCTCCAACAACAACAACCTTCTTAGAATAATCAAAGGGTCCGGATGGGGTGCGCACACCCGAACCCTACTGAACTTCTATAAGGCGTTCGTCAGAAGCAAGCTCGAATACGGATGTGTCGTATACGATGCGGCCTCCGACGCACAAAAAGCTCTTCTAGACCGAATTCAGAACGAGTCAATGAGAATCATCCTGGGGGTAGGGAAAGGAGCCAGTCACGAAGCCATGGAGGTAGCACTAGGTCTCATACCACTAAGCCTACGCAGAAGACAACTGAGGCACAGCTACTGGTCTCAAACAACGCTCGACCCACACCACCCTGCCGCCCAGGCGCTGACTGTTCATGAATATCCATGGTCGAAAACCAGCATCCCACTGCAAAAATTCCAAAGACCAGCATCCTGGAAAACGGCAGCAGAACTGAACACCATCAAACAACAGCGGTATAAGGTACCACCCGACCACCCCAACCTGGGAGCTCAAAATTCCGTACACGGACGAAAGCCTGGCGCACGTAATCGACAAAAACCAGGCCATCCTCGATGCAAGGTCGAGAGTCGACGAGTACATCCGGAATGCTGAAGTAGACACCATGATTATCTACACAGACGGCTCCAAAACCAGTACGGGTGCGGTCGGCGCAGGGGTCTTCATACCAGCCTTAAAAACAACCCACGAATATAGGCTCACTGACGACACAGCAGTATGCACGGCAGAGCTGGTAGGGATACTAAAAGCACTGGAGCTAGCCTGCGAACGGCCGCCCATTAAGCTCCTTATCCTCACCGACTCGCTGTCATCTGTCCAGTCATTAAAAGACTATTCGAAAGTGAGCCGACAAGACTTGAAAGAAGAAATCCTGACTTTGTCAACCAGACTGAGGAGCCTGGGATGCCAGGTAACCATTGGCTGGATCCCAGCTCACATAGGTATCGAAGGCAACGAAGCAGCAGACAGAGCGGCAAAAAGAGGCACCAGCAGCCTAACACAGTGTTCACGGGACTGGGCAAAAAAACAGAACAAAAAGCAGTCATTAGAAACAACGTCTGCAAAGATTGGTCCCAGCAGTGGTCGACCAGCGATAAAGGCAGAATCGCCTACAAATTACTAAAACAACCCAGTCTTAAGAACCAAGTGCAAGCGCCGACAAAAATACCTGTCATCCGCAAGCTGTGGAAGATGCGACTAGGGTGTTGGACAGACCGATTCCGCACGCCTGTGTGTCAGGAATGCAGGGCCAACAACTCTATGGAACACTTCCTGCTGAACTGCAAAACCTACGAACCTGAAAGACAAGATCTTGTGTTACACTTTAGAGCAAGTAACGAACCAATGACTGTCGAAAACTGCCTCAGCGTGAGCGCTGAGGACCAGGTCCAGCGACTCGTCAAGCAGTTCATTTCAAGAACGGGGAAAGCGATCTGAGAAGCCATCCATCAAACCCAGAGCTGTACAACCAGATGGGACCGGACCAGATCCTGCGAGTACCAGCGGCACCTGCCAGGACAGTCTATCCTTCCTCTCACTCTCCCGACCTCGCTTTATGTCCTCTGAAGCATTCCAGCACTCTTCACCTATGCTACTACCACTACCTCTACCTGTCCGCTGGCGAATAACATCGTAAATGCCAAAGTTGTAACACAAATCTGAAATTAGTATATTTTCAGGTGGAAGTAGACAGCGGAACCCACCAAAGGCCACCCGACGCTCTGAAGCAGCTAGCCAAGGGCATTGCACCAAAGGGGACCAGCACCAGGGAATTCCTGTCTAACTTACGCCACCTTAAATGTATCTATAACAATGCCTTTCAGTCCCATTTCAGACCCTGCCCTAAGGCCGAAAACCAGCGTGAAGGCCTAAATGATTACCAAAACTTTAATTAAACATTCTTTCAGGCAGAAGTAGACAGCGAAACCCACCAAAGGCCACCCGACGCTCTGAAGCAGCTAGCCAAGGGCATTGCACCAAAGGGGACCAGCACCAGGGAATTCCTGTCTAACTTACGCCACCTTAAATGTATCTATAACAATGCATTTCAGTCCCATTTCAGACCCTGCCCTAAGGCCGAATACCAGCGTGAAGGCCTAAGTGACTACAAAAACCTTAACTAACATTCTTTCAGGCAGAAGTTGACAACGGAAACCACCAAAGGCCACCCGACGCTCTGAAGCAAACCGCTGAAGACATTGCACCAAAGGGGACCAGCACTCGGTAACTCCAGACTCTCTTAAGGCCGCCCCCCCCCCAATCACATGTACATTAACAATGCCTCTAGTTTTATTTCAGGACACTGGATTTCACCCCACGAGAAGTCCCAGCGACGAGAAGCCACATCTCTCAATCTATCTGTCACTCTCAATCTCCCGACCTCACTATCACATCTACTGGCACATTCGGGCAAACTGACCCTTCATTTGCAGTCTATCTTACGTCCACTACTTCTCCACACTCCGTGGAAAAAAAAAAAAAAAAAAAAAAAAAAATTTTTTGTTTTTTTTTTGGGCCGATCACAACAACAGATTGTGACGGCCCTGTTTGTCCTGAAAAGGAACATTGTTCGTATCGACGGAGCAACGGATATTTGTTTGGCTTTTTCCGGCGGCTTTTAGATCGGCAACCAAGCAGCAACAGGGCACCAGCACAGCGACCAGCACGAGGCAAGCCAAGCACCAGCAACAGTCAGCTAGTACCCTTCAATATCATCGCAAAGAGATCTGGATCACACCAGAACCCAAAACCGCAAACAACGCAGCACAGCAAGGAAGCAAACAACAATAATATCAGGTGTGTCTACACACCACAAATAAAAGGAAACCATATAAGACAGCAAAGGACCCTTCTTCGATATAGCAGGCCCTCGGGCGGCTGAAAGAGGATCAAGTTTGAAATTTTTCTTGGACAACTGGCAATGGCAGACAGCATATCCTTATGAATGTCTGTTGCAGGCAACCCTTTTGTCCCCTCAAAAAACGCATAACAGGATGTTGTTCTTCGAGTGTACACTCCGTAAGTACAGTTGCCATTTTGTTTCTGTGTTGTGAATGCGCATGCACAGCTAGCGCCACCTAACGAATTAGGACATAAAGTTCAATGTTGCTGTCACCTAACGACACCTTTAGAAACCTATAACTACATATTCCTGCCATCCCATAACCCTTTGTGAACTATTTACTTCCCCTTGCATGCATGTGTGCACACACACCAATTAATCCCCCCCCCCTCCCCCACTTTTGTGCGTTCGGGGGGGGGCGCATTGTGGGAAAAACAAGAATAGACTGCCTCCCTCCCCAACAAGCATGTTGATGGAGTAGACTAACTGGGAGCTTTCTTCGAAGTCAGAGTGCATCTGCTCGAGTGGCAAGGAACAACCAGCTACACACAAATAAGCCAGTAAAATGAATCTGCATGCAAAACTCAGGCCTGGCACAAAGGCATAGCCCAAATGGATGAACAACCAGGACTTACCACCACAGCTTACAGCTGGTGAGTGAAGAATAAGATATCTATATAAAATGTAACTAACCTGTGAGTTAAATATAGTCGCCCATTTTTAAATGCTGCAGTAAGTGACTTCTCTCGGTTTATAAGAGTACATCTGCGACCTCCCTGCCAACCTGTACATAATGTAAGTCAGAAAATGTTTCAATAATGCTTTCATTTTAATGCAATAAGTCATATGCTACTGGACCAAATGGTACTTTCAACAAAGTGAGTTAGAGCATTTAATGGAATGATTCCCAAAATGTGTGATACTATCACCCTGAAGGCAGCAAACAGATTCTTCTTATTATTATTATTTGCGTGCACTGGCTGTAAACTGGCAGAAAGTTCTGGTTGTCCAGAAGTGAACTCAGTTTTTGCATTGTATATCCATTTTACAGATCTGGCTTATTTGTATGCTGATGTTGGTTCCTTGCCTCTCAGGCAGATGCAGTTAGACTTTGAAAGGAATACCCCTAATTATTTGCCTTCTAGGAAATGATTGTCTTGGGGAAAAAAGGGCGAAGGGTCTATTATTCAATGGTTCTCAAACAACGTATCATGCTGGGTGAATACTTTTCCATATTGTTCTATTTTACCATCTCTTGATGTTATCCTCCCATCTGTATCACTGTCTACCTCATTCTCATTTGCCTTTAACTTTTCCTTCCAGCGTGGCTTTAACAAGAGTGTTATGTCTTTTAATGTGGCCAATATATTTCATCTTCTACTTCTGCCCTTTATCCTCCAATTGAGCATGGGCCCTCAGACAAATCACAATTAGTCCTATCCTTTGCTATCACATGCAGCTCACCCCATGTCCAACAAATCTTTCTTGTAACCTCACTCTCTGGTTTCCTCCTCCATTTGTTTTTTCGTCTGCCATTTAGTTCTATGCCCCTGTGGGTTCCCTATATATATATTTCACTTGCTAATTTTTTTTTTTAGTTCATTTCTTTTAATAGCTATCTATTTACTCACAGTTTCTTCAGAACTACTGTATTTGAAAATTTATGTTTCAGTAGTATTAGAACGTGGGCATTTACCTGGTAAAGGACATTCAGATTCTGGCAATGCAAAAAGTTCACAAAATGCTCGGTCATCCAGTGTCAACTGGTCACTCCTAGCCTCTGCAGCAACATCCCCTTTTTCTTGACTATGTGGAAGAATGTACTAGAGAGAATAAACAGTTTTAAAATATTTAGTACATAAAAATACTGAGTGTAAGTTCCAGGGTCCCATTGTGGGGAAAACAAGAATAGACCCCCTGCCTACCCAAAAGCATGTCGTAAATGTCGACTAACTGGGAGCTTTCATCGAAGTCAGGTTGAACTGCTCGAGAGGCAAGGAACCAACAGTGTGCATACAAATGAGTCAGACTTATAAAATAGATATGCTGATGATTTAATATCTTTGTCACTACATAAATAAGGACACAAATAACCAAGACATGACTTACCTATATTTTTTTTTTATAAAGATGGAAACAGGGGGTTACTGCAGTTGAGCAGATGACAAGAGGTGCTAAACACAACATAAAATATAAACTGAAAACTCAAAGAAGGGAGTAAAAAGATGCAAACAAATTCAACTAAATGTTTCAAAGTCTTTATGAAGACAATACAAAATACAACACAAACTGCGTCACACTTGTGTGCTAGAGTTTGTGCTGCATTTACTACTTCCCTGATAAAGACTCTGGATGAAACCTTCAGATGTATTTGTGTATGTCTTTTTCAATTACTTTCTTGAACACTCTGGTCACATTTTATGTTACATTTAGCATTTCTTGTTGTTGTAATGAGTGTTTCTTACAACAATCCTGAAAATATGTTGCTTCAAATCGCCTAAAAGAGGTCCCCTGCAATTTATTTCTGTGTGTTACCTACAACAAAATGGAACCAACCAATCATGTCTCTTCTTTTATATCCACTGTATTGAGCTGAGCTGAGTTTCATGAACCGACACCACAGCACTCAGGGCATTCCGATATGTGCTCCATCCCCATCTTCAGCAGCCAATGAAAAGTCCTAACTCTAATGGTGCCAGTAGCAGTCTGATTGTATGTCCGTCTTGCCTTTCCTTCCATTACGGAGTGTCCGACAGATCATCTGGTCACCACTGCTGCACTAGCACTGTTCACTCACTCCTAAAGGGCCTTGACAACATCTAACTAGTCATTAGTTCATCACCGAGTGGCAAAGAACCAGCCAGTCTATCTGCCTGTTCATTTCCCAACACATCTGCATACCCTGGAGAAAATATCCAAAGGATGCTAACTACCCTGGACCTCTGAAGCAATACATACCACTCTGCATGTACATTGTATATTAGACAAAACTTGTATCACATAGACTGGCTGATGATTTAGAAAAGCATGGCAGGTTACCATCCGCACTTGAAGGATACAGGTATAGCAAAGAGACAGGGCTTAATGCAGCAGTTTGTACCAGTAAAGTATATGAAGACTTTCAGATGAGAGAAGAGACACATGTAGCCATACTAGACTTACAGGATGCATACAAAGGAGTGCCATTTTACTACCTTATGCACATACTTCCCAACTAGAAATATCTCCCTTCATCATCTGCTGGCTAGCACAACACTGTTTCAGAAACGGATGATACTCAGGTGTGGTTGTTGGTCCTCAGAACTGATAACCATCAGTGCAGGATTGCCTCAAGGTTCCCTGCTGTCTCCAGTTTTGTTCAGTGTGTACACAGTGCTAATAACTGAGCAGCAGTTGCACGAGAGTGGCAGGACCTTGTCATCTGCTGATGACATCTTGGTGTATCGATATGGAACAGACCGCCAGGTGATGGCTAATGCAACGCAGAGTGAATCTGATTGCATCTCCTCCTGGATTTTGGATTCCCAAGCACATGTCAACCCTTTAAAGGCCTCAGTAATGTGGTTTACCTTGAACAGGCATATAGTCAGGGCAGGCCTACTGCAGTGACAAAGCCCTGACAAGAACAAATCTGAGGACATATCCAGGAGTGAGGTTTGATCGCAGTCTTTCTTTCAAAGACCATGCTGACCACATCATACAAAAGCATGCAAATGCCTGTCAGCAATGAGAGCCAAGACTCCCACCCCCCCCCCTTTCCCGCCAATACTGCTTCTGCTCCAGGGACTGGTTCTTGCTCCCATCGAATACTTCATACTCAGACTGAAAGACTAGAAAAGGTGCAAAATGAAGGCATGCGCATAATTTTGGGGCACACAAGGGACACCTTTTGTGTATCAATGAGATGCCTTCTTGACTTTGCAGCCATGAACTACAGGATCAAGATTTGAAGGGCTCGTGCAACAGATGAAAATGAGGCACATCATGGACAGGTAGGACAGAGGATGATATCAAGCAGGTCTGCAGTCTTAAGACATCCACACTGGTGAGGAAAAGATACATGTGCCTGAAGCGTTCAATCACACATCCTGTGTCATCACACTTGAAAAAAAATGTTGGAAGCAGAATTCTATTGTCAACACCGAGGCCCAGTGACAATTCAGATGAGGCAGGTGTGCTGATCGACACAGATGGGTCCCTTGTAAGAGGACATAAGAGTTATGGGCATTCACAGCTAGCTCTGCAGGCAGAACTGTTCAGGAAGCCAGTGATGTAATCTTTATGATTACTAGTAGCATGACGATGGAGGTGATGGCGGTGAGACAAGCTTTCATGTGGCTGGAATCACAAGGCTATTCCCAAGTGTGTGTGTGTGTGCTGAGTGATTCTATGAGCATGATCTGGCAGGTCCAGGCAGGCTCCGTATGCAGACAGTGAATTGTGTCACTGCGAAACTCCCCTGTGCGTGCAGTTACCTCTATCTTTGTCCCAGGATATGCAGGTGTTGTTGGCAATAAAAGAGATTACAGACTGGCCAGTTCTGCCTTAGCTGCAGATGGCCAGCCTATGGATTATGCTGACATTGTTAATGCCCTTAGACAGGACGTGTCCACATCACTGCTAAGAATAAGAGAGTAAAGATCTGCCCAGGCAAGCATGAGAGGCACACCGGACATACAAGAAGTCTTGTTAACCATTAAAGGACTGGCATTATTAACAACGAGAAGCTGATGTATATCTTAAAGGGGGGATCTGAGCACCTACGGACGTGTCCAGAGTGCTGTGAAGATAACTCAACTCATAACGCACAACACATCATTATAGTCTGTGTTTGTATGTGTTAATGTTGTTTTTTGTTTCTTTATTTTTAACCTAATCTTTGTTAATAAGAATGTATGAAACCTATATTGCTATTTCCAAGTACAATTGTTTCTGCAGCTGAGCAGTGACATCATATGGGAGTAAAAGTAAAGGACCCTTTTCCACGCCTTTAGGCGTATAGGGCATATAGGGCTAGACCTATATTTTATAGACCAACAGCACAAGATGGGTGATGTGGTCAGCATTATGCCGGCCGCCTCTACTTTCCGGGACAGCACCCGGTACCCACCCAAGGCTAGGTCGACCTGGGAGCCAAGGTCATTGTTAGAGAAAAGTAAATCTCCGCCAGGGAGCGAACCCGCGACCTTCCGATCCGCAGCGTGCGTCTAGCCGCTCTGCCACAGGGACTCCCATCATATGGGAGTACGGACTACTATATCTACTTCTTTCCTGTACTTCTCTGTGGCAGTAAAAACATATCATTGTGTTCATCATGCTATGAGTGAGTGGTAGAAATATAAAGCCACTAATTTCATTAAAATTAATATTGCTTTAAACGTGTTTATAATCGAACAAAACCTACACTGAAAGATGACAATACAATCACAAATTTCTATTTCTAAATGTGATAATTATTTCACTGAGAAGATGAATATAGTCAGATATAATTACCTTATCTATTTCTGATTTTGCATTAATTTTCTCATATTCCACATCAGTAGGCAGCTCCATCCATAGCCTATAGGTGGAATCATACTTCCTTCTCACACGTGGGAATCGGTTGTAGACGTAATCAACGATGAACAGTTTGATTCCCATGTAGAGACCTTCAGGATAAAAAGACAACAAATAAAACATATAATATCTATAAAAATTGCCCATTTAAAAAAAAAAAAACATCTTTTTTCTAACCAAACAAAAACACAAATCCAGCTTAAATTAATATGAAACTAATTAACTGTAATCATTAATAATAGAAAAAGGAAAATTAAATTTTTTTTTTTAAAGTTTTTAAAGCAGTTAATTCCTGTGACCCTCTTGATTGTCCTAAATTAGTAAGTAACTTAGTGCCCATTATACCTAGTGTGATTCTATGAAACAGGAACAATTTATAACTCGCTCAGTCTCACAAGCAGTGCTGTATTTAGGCTATGTGTAGCTGCAGAAGGCAGCATTTTGGGGGTGGCAAAATTCTAGAAATGGTATGGTATAACTAGCTGCTACAAAAAAAATTTAAATATCTTGTTCTTATGATTATGAAAGTTTCCGCTAGTATTGCGCATCATTGCACCATTAGGACATTTGTTTTACCTGCTGTTTACACACTTCAATTCAGTTTAATTAAAACTGAAGTAAATAATTCAGTTTGCTTTTACAATATCTGTATAGATAATTATATCCCCTGGATGGAATCGTTATTATGAAAGTTATTAAATTTCTTTTTCTGCGATGCCTACTGGCAAATCACTTTATTTATACAGAAAATCCCTACAGAGACGCAGAGACATATGTCTGGTTCCTGCTGATCTCTGAGTGTGCAGTGGGGGGAAGAGGGGGTGGGGGGGAGCATTGCAAAAAAGCCTCCATGGAAATTATATTTTTGTAGTGGACCATGGGAAAAATCTGTACATTAACCTCAGTCAAGGACCCAGAGGATCTGACCAGTTTTCAACACACAGAGGTAAAGGCAGCCAGAATTGTAAATGGGCTGCAGCTGTCATTATCAGTATGGGCATGCTTCGTTGGCTGCTAAGCAAGGAGGATACAGAGTAAATGTGGGAATGCCCTGAGTGCCCACTCCCAAAAAAACTGCCAATTACTGTCACTACGGACTGTGCAGCTTAGGATTTTATTTGTGTCCCCGCCAGAAAAAATAAATGACCCTGCCAAGGATTCAAACCTCCAAATTGAGATTGAAAAAAAATTTGCAGTAAGATGTGTGTTTTGCACAATTCAGTTTTGGTAGTTCAGAAGTGTAACAGTGGGAAGTTTTAAAAGTTAAAACTCTGTCTAGGTAATGATAATCATTAGATCATTCTCAAGTAGCCTGTGTACACAGACAACTAAACTCTGGCTCACTGATCAAGGAGAACAAGGCTGCAGAAAATCAACATTTCTAATCAGAAGTTGAGTGTTTTTGACGTTTGTTTGTTTTTAAGCTTGCTTTGTTGAATTATCTGTCAGTGCTTAAGCAGGCTGCATTCATTGAGCCAAGGAAGGAGTGCATTACAGCCCAGCATTCTTAACCATTGAGTCAACTGTTACTCAGAGCGCAACTGCCCAGAGTGCCACCATATCAATTCTTGATTAATTCTTTCGTTCATCATGAATGATCTAGATCAGTGATTCTCAACCTATGGGCCGCGAAACCTTTGGGGGGTCAAACGACCATTTCACAGGGGTAGCCTAAAACCATCGGAAAACACTTACTTACTCAAGTTATGAAGTAGCAATGAAAATAATTGATAGAATGGGGTCACCACAATATTAGGAACTGTAATAAAGGGTTGCAGCATTAGGAAGGTTGAGAAACTGATCTAGATGTTCTGAACACCACTGCATCATACTTAAAATTTAAAACTTAGTCTTCCAGATTATATACAGCCAACAAGTTCTACAAAAAGATATATCCTGTCTCACCTGCATAGAAGAAGAGCAGTGCAGTTGGCATAATGCAGGATGTTATAAATGCAGCACTTATGGCAAGGAATAACTGTCGGCTGGCTTCAGGGTGACGCCAAGTTAAAAGGCTGAAAAGATAATTTTGTTAAGTTTTAATAATGAAGCATTGGGTTGAAATCAATAATCATAACAAACGCAAACAAATTTAAGGCAATACTGCACAATAATTCATGGGTTCTGGGTCCTGACGAAGCCTGACTTTTTTTTTCCGAAACATGACCTTGGCTCCCAGATCAACCAGCCTTAAATGGGTACCAGGTACAGTCCTGGGAAGTAAAGGTGGCTGGCATGATGCTGACCACATCACCTGCTGAGTGACAACTGGTCAATAATATAGGTCCAGAGCTATATGCCTGATATGAATGAAGGCTTGTTAAAGGGTCCTTCGCTTTACTTACTGCACAATTAAATTTCATCACCTTGTTCTGAGTTCAGCCTTAAAAAAGCTCTTCTCTAATGTGTTGCAGTTTACAGCTAGCTGTGATACCTCTGCCTTTCACCAAATACATCTGATTTTAGTAAAACCCAAAATTAGTCACACCGTATGATATGCTTGTTAAGGGGCAGTAAATCTAACCCCATTTGTTCGGAAGCATAGGGTCCACTCTTTTGTGCCCACAAATAAGGCTCCAGAACCCACACAGGAGAACTTAACTCTCTCAGTTCCAGGGGGTTTAGCATTAGCAAATAGTAGTCTTCTGCTTCTTCACGTTCACCAGCTGTAAACTCCGGTGGAAAGTTCTGGTTGTTCATCCACTTCTGGACTGCAGTCAGGTTCCAAAAACTGAGTGTTGCGCGTGCATCCATTTTTACACATCTGACTCATTTGTATGCAGACTGCTGGTTCCTTGCCTCTCAGGCAGATGAATTTCGACTTTGAAGGAAGCTCCCAATTAGTCGGGTCTTACGACATGCTTTTCTTGTTTTCCCTATAACAGGGCCCTGGAACCCACACGGAGATCACCAAATGGTAGTAAAGAGAGATGTAAAACTGGTGCATCTTGCGTTAATTGGGCTTCTAGGTAGGAACCTATGAACGTATGATGGGACTGAAAGAGTTAATGGCATGCAGGACAATGCATGCTTCACCTAACTGTATTTTACCACAAAAAGACAGAATTCACCTCTTGATTTTTTCCAGACTATCTGCTACCATGCCTAGAACATTCTGCACTTTCCTGGCCACTTGCATGACAAGGTTGAACTTATCGGACACACCGAGATCCTTTTCTTCAGTATCCTTGACAACACCAAGCAAAATGCATGTGCATATAAGTAAAGAATCAAGACACAATAAACTGTCGCTCTAAGGTACAAAATAGTAAGGACAGATAACACTAAAGTAACAACTATCTGAGACTACAAGGTACAAAGTCTTTAGGATAGATAATGCTCAAGTAACAGCTACCCGAAACCAAAAGAGTGAATGGCTGGCACTAAAGTCAAATGCTTTTGTACATATACACGTGGAAAAAAAAGTCTCTCAATAAAGATTTATGTTCGCTGGTGTACACTTATGCTGAAATACCTTGCAACAAACAAACAAAATTACAATAATAATGACTTTCAAAATAGAACAGGTAATTTAAAACTGAATAATATCGGACAAAGGTTACGACAATTTACTTACTTTTGTCTCTTCAACCATCTCAAAAAAATTGAAGTTAACATTCCAGCCTCTAGAAAAAAAAAAGAAGGAAAAAAACAAGACTGGCTTAAACAAGATAATAAATATACTATTTAAATATGTTTTATAACCTTTAAAACAGAACTATTTAGTCTTCTATATTTGACAATGGCAGCCACAGTAGCGGAGGGGGAAACCACTTGCCTACTAGCCCAAATGTCTTGGGTTCAAATCCACAACAAGGAGGATTTTGTTATAACTGACATGGTCTCCCAACCTAGAATAGGCACCAAGGGATGTCCTGGTATTACAGGCTGCCAGCATCATGTCCCCCACATCACCCACTGAGTGCAGACTGGTCTATAAAATGATGGGTCCAACACTATTTCTTGGAAAAGCTAAACCAAAACATTAGGTAAATAAGTAAGCAAACAATGTGAGACAGAACAGGATTACCTGTGCCGCAGATAGCTGATAAATAGCCTGAATGACAGACAAAACAGCAGCATTGGGAGGAACCATCCCTGCCATAATGAGTACATATAAACCTGTCAGAATGGAAACAAAGAAAAACAGTTGCATAGGTATTAGGGAAATTGTGATTTTTTTTTTTATGAAACTTGCATGGTTGTTTGAACCAAGGTTTGTCATACAGTAGGACTTTTGGACAACAGACAGTTAAACCTGATATGGTCATTTACAAGGGTCCTCAATTAGCAGACTTCACTCACATTCTGAATGAGTTTTCCATGCCAAGTTATCACCCATCCACAGTGGACGGGCTGACAAGAGCCAGAGGATTTCTGGGAGCTACATCTCTGGAGGCCACTAATTCCTAGATACTCTGCCAGCTCAGTTTGGGCCAGTATAGGCTATGATCTGTAGTGCACGATGAGGATGTGTGGCAGGAGTCTTGCATGTGGATACCCAAAAAAAAAAATTTTTTTAAAAAACAGCACAGAGCCTGCTGGCACCCAAAGTCAGGTACAAAGTGTCTCATTATACATATTATACGGCTTAAACTTTCCCTCATATGCCTGTGACTTGATTCATCACTCAAAGAACCTCTGTATTTGATTGTCTTTGTCCCCCATGAAACATGATCTATTCCTTTATAAATCTTAATCTCCAGCGCCAATTTGACTTCCTTAGTCCTCATTTATTTTCTAGTTTTATGTACCATAGAGAGGTGCTGACTACATAATTGTGACAATTCTCATGGTTAATCTGTTGTTTATCTCTCTGAAGTCTTTATATCCTGTTCCCTACAAGTTCTACACTTTCAACCAGATTAGTCATTTTTGGTGATTTCTTAATATCCTACCCCAAACAGGAGAAATCCACAGGTCACGGGACAGTCAAATATTTCAGGGGGTGGTAGATAGGTTGCATGCAGTAGTGGGACCTAGGCTGCATGCAGTAGTAGAACCTAGGTTGCACTTTCTTATGAGACGTAGGTGGGTTGGGGTTAGGGCCAGTTTTATATATTTTGGGGTCGTTAAAAGCATCAGAAAGCCAGGAAACCCAGTCTTACCACCCTCTAAAATGTCCTGCGTCTTCTGGGGTAGGATATTACAAAAGAATCACCATTTTTAATAAAGTAAATTGTTGGAACAATCACCGATTAATTCTGAAACACATTCAAAATAAACTACAGCATGAGGACAAACACAACTTACGATAAAAACAATCAGGGTGTATGGAGGAGACTTCCAAGCCAGCAGGTCATAAATGCCTTTGACTGTATTTACATAAGGTTTGGCCTCCAGACCTGTTGACGCACAAATGTATATAAAACTACAAAATCAACAGTCAAGTGAAAGTAACAGAATCCCAATCACATCAATGGGAGATTAGACAGATGGCAGTCACTGTTATTACTGTCTATATTTACCAGGAACATATTTATCACCTTAGCATGAATTCAAACATCAATCTCCGAAATTAGAGCAACGTATTCTTAACCTTTCAGCCAGCCACTCCTCATAACATATATAAGTCAGCTTCTTTTCTCTACTCCTGGAACACCTCTCAGTGCCAGGGCAGGAAGAGTGCACTGAGTCCTCTTGTTCATTTCATAAATTGTACTTTTCAGTGTCTCTGATATTTCTCCCCTGTCCATCTTCTGAGTTTCTGCCTCTGTTACCATTGTATCTGTGTTGCCCAGTCTTCTTACACAGCCAAACATTTGATCTAATGTCTACCAATAGTTCAGCATTGGTTCTGTGCCGACTCTCCTCTTGATATCATTGTTTCTAAGCAGATTTTTCGTACATGTAGCTGTAAAAAGTAAATATCAATTCCCACCAGTGGCATATCAGAAACACTGTGACAGACACCCACTTGTAAAGGCCAGTCAGCACTCAATGAATGACATGGTCAACATTACAACGCCCGCTTTAACTTCTTACATCTCCTGGTACTCAAAGAACCTGGTGGGTCAACCTAGTAGCCTAGATCGATAATAAAAGTCTGCTTCAATGTGGATTTGAACACAAAAATTTTGGGCCAACAAGCAAGAATTAGCCACAATGCCAAATCGATAGCAATATGAACAGTAGCAATGATCAAACATACAAATTTGTCTGCTAAAATTAACTCTTAGCATAAGTAAAACAAAGGGCCCTTTTCCATGATGTAGGACTCTTGGCTATTTGGTGCTAAGTTCATATATTTATATACCCAACTGCATTTCATGTGTCATGAGGGGAAAATAACACCAGCAGCCTTTACTTCTGAAACATTTCCTTGCACCCATTTTAGACTGAGTCTACTCACTGGAAGTTAACAAAGTATGCTGCTTCATGCACCATAATGGAGAAACCATTGAAATAAAGTATATTTATATTTTACGGTTTTGAGGAGGTTTGAATGTGCACATTTCAACCTATTCAATGTCAGGGAAAAGACTTATGACAAGCCCCATCTGTATATATATGTTTGTGTGTCTCACACCCCCCCCCCCCTTTCCCGTTTATATTCTCTATGTCCAAAGGAAGTCATGTCTAATGTCTAATTTTCTCAAATGTTCTACATTATTTTCATGTAATTATTTTATCAAAACAACAATAAACAATAAAAAAGTAAATTCAACACTGTGGAGGATCAAGAAAAATAAACATGACAGACAAAAAAGAAGACAAAAGAAGAAGACATAAGCAATTCAGACGTAACTGCATCTGACTTACCAAAACGTTTAATATTTTCTTTCAGTCTGAAAGTAAAACAGAAACACAACACATCTGAAGTACAGCATATACAAAAATATTAACTAAGAGAATGAAAAGAAGAAAAGTAAAGCAGTAGGTATAGGGAGTCTGTGGTACTGATGTGGCTGAATGCCTGCCTTAAAGCCTGAAGATCATGAGTTCGAAAATGTGTCAAACTAGATTTTTTATAACAGACTTTGACTGACAGCAAACGCAGCAAAAAAACTGGAACCAGGAATTGTTCTTTAAATAAAGGTGGCTGCTGGACCGAGTGCCAACTGATCTATACAATACACAGGCAGATAAAATGCAGGTTCTGCATTAACCGTGGTGAATTGTTGCATGACAAGCTAGATGCTGTGAAGGTCCTTTGGAGCGAGTAAACAGTGCAGAGGCACAAAGAGATCATCAAGGCCTGAGGAGAATTGTGCTGTGAGGATCTGACCAATGCCTAACACTCAAGGGGAAGGTGAGGTAAATATGCAATCTGGTGCCATGGGAACTGGAACTCTGTGCTCACTGCTGAAGATGGGAAAGGCGTGCTAATGGGAATTTCCTGAGGGATGTGATGTTGCTTCTTAATTTAACATTCAATACTGGCACTAAAAAGTCATTTGACAACAAACATTTTGTGTTTTTTAAATTACACTACCCACTGGTAACTACTTGTAAAATAAGACATTAAATTGGATAACAAAAACACAGAGGAGCATCTGAATGAGCAGCTTGCACACTCTGCTCTCATTCATGAGACCTGGGTTCAAGTCCTCAGTATAATTAAAGAATTATTTTTTTTTGTCCAGATGCTAAAACAATTTCCCTACCTACCCAGTCTATGGTGACATCACTAACCACTCAGCCCTAAAGTCAGAGTGCATCTGCCTGAGAGGCAAGGAACCAGTAGTCTGCACACAAATAAGCCAGATCGTGGGCATAAAAGTCACAAGCACTAATGTAGAGTCGCTGGGGATTAAACAAATTCTAGTGAATCAAAAAAGTTAGGAATTTCTTCTTCTTCTTTTGTTCACCAGCTGTAAGCTCTGGCGAAAAGTCCTAGTTGTTCTTCCATTTGGACTTTGGCTTTGTGCCAGGGCCTGAGTTTTGTGTGTATTACTGGCTTATTTGTGTGCAGCTGGTTGTTCCTTGCCGCTCGGGCAAATGCTCTCCAACTTTTCCAGTTAGTCGACTCCTATGACATGCTTTTTGGGGAGGCAGTGACACATGCAGCTCATAGTTTATTCTTCCTCATTGTACTGTTCTGTGGAATCCTTCTGATATGATGGATGGAAACAGGTCCAGTACCTCTGGCTTCTGTTGTCAATGTTTGTTTCGGGGTTTATCTTGGATGTCCTTGCTCCCTCAATCCCATTTCAGTGCCAGTTTGGTGATTCTCAACTCGCTTGTTCACAGAAAGTGCCTAATATAGCAACCTCTTCTTTAAAAAAAAAGAATATAAAGTAGTTTAAATGAGATAGCAAATGATTGAAAAGCTTGGCATGAGTCATTGTGTAGTGTAAGTTTCATTCACATGGCAAAGTTTTTTTAAACAATTGTTTATGTTCAAGTAATTTCCCACTCTATAACTATCCTCATCATGTGTCCTGTACTTACGTTTTGACTGTAAGAGGTTCACCTTCAGGATCTCCAACATTAGTTGCTGGAGGTTCCTCGGTAAAATCATCCAGAAATGTGTAAAATGAATTCAAAAACCAATCCACCATCCTCTGATACAATCTCTTCTTCAACGGCTTAGTTACCTCAATAGGAAGTGGTTCTAAAGTGAACAAAATCAGAGAAAATTTGAAATTTTTACTGCACGCTTAACACTTCAAACATCAGTACCTGCTTGGAAACCTATCACTTTACACTCTAAACACAACTAAAACTAAACAAACAATTATCAGTGCTGCCCTTGCACCACTGCCTGTTCCTAAAAGTCTTTTTTTGGGAGGCACACGGAAATTTAGAAAGCTTTTAAACCTTAGAACTTCAAGGGGAAAAAAAACAATGATGAATGCTAAGCTTCTCTAGACACTATCTGAATTTAACATGAACGATGCTGGTTGAGTGATTGCCTTAGAATTTAAGAAAAGATGATGTTAATTCTAATAAACTTCAGATACTCTGCTTAAGGTCTTTGTCAGTGTCCCTACATATAGTTTAAGTCTCCTGTCTGTGTTCTTATTTATAGTTCAGCTCTGCTGTCTGTGTTCTTACTTATAGTTTAGGTCTACTGTCAGTGTTCTTACTTATAGTTCAGTCTATTTTCAGTGTTCTTACTTATAGTTCAGTCTATTGTTAGTGTTCTTACTTATAGTTCAGTCTATTGTTAGTGTTCTTCTGACAGTTCAGGTCTATTGACTGTGGTCTCACTTAAAGTTCAGATGAACTGTCAGTTTTTATAGTTATGGTTCTTCTTCTTTGCGTTCATCAGCAGTAAACTCCAGCGGTAAGTTGTTGTTTATCCACTTCTAGACTTTAGCAGTTTCAGAGCGTTAATTCTGCGTGAACATCCATTTTACAGATCTGGTTTGTTTGTTACAAGATTGCAAAGGAAACTGCTAATTAACCGACTCTTACAACATGCTTGTTAAGGGAGTCAGCAGGACTATTTTTGTCCCCCCCCCCCCCCCCCCCCACCCAATAATGGGGCCCCAGAACCCACATGGGAAAGTAATGGTTCAGAAATCATTGACCTGACTAAAGCCTGGCAAACGAAACACTACAAGCAGAAAGAAGCAATAGCTCATATACAAAGTGAGATGCAGTTCCAAAGAAATGGGTCACATGGCATGGTCTTAATGTTGTTAGATTGACATTATTCTGATGACAGTGCATAAACAAACTGTACTGAGGTGATGACAACATTACAATGATAGTGCACAGACAAACTAACTGTACTGAGGTGATGACAACTTTACAATAAGAGTGCATAAACAAACTGTACTGAGGTGATGACAACTTTACAATAAGAGTGCATAAACAAACTGTACTGAGGTGATGACAACATTACAATGAGAGTGCATAGACAAACTGTACTGAAGTGATGATAACATTACAATGAGAGTGCATAAACAAACTGTACTGAGGTGATGACAACGTTACAATGAGAGTGCATAGACAAACTGTACTGAAGTGATGATAACTTTACAATGAGAGTGCACTGAAAAACTGTACTAAAGTGATGATAACATTACATTGAAGAGTGCACCAAAAACTGTACTGAGGTGACGATAACCTAACAATGAGAGTGCACAGACAAACTGTACTGAGGTGATGATAACATAACAATGAGAGTGCATAAACAAATTGCACTGAGGTGATAACATTACAATAAGAGTGCACAGAAAAACTGTACTGAGGTGATGAGAACATTCCACACCAAGTACCTCCATTGTCCTCCCCTTCAATGCCTATACCACTACTGCTAGCTCCACTTCCTCCACTACCACTGGCAAGCTTACTTTTTGAAGCATCTGATGGGCTCTGGTTCACCTTTTGAGCTCTAAGGAAAAATCAATTTCAATATGTAATTTGTTTAAAAAAATATGAAACATCAAAATCACCATGTTTAATCATTTTAGACATAAGGCAAGTTCATTTTAATATGTAATTATAATACTGTAAAGAATATTAATTTGTAATAAATGTCACAATCTGAGAGTATGGTCTCTTGAGTTTTGTTGAGTGTCAACAAGTTTTCCTTTTTTTTAACAGGGAAACCAATACAATTGTATCATCATACTTCTTTTTTTTTATTTTGTTTGTTTGTTACATAACAGAAGTCAGCATAACACACAAAATAACATGCTTAGGAAAAGATTGGAGCATTTACAGGTTTACCTGACGCACAGTTAAGACAATCCTGAAATGAAAACTCAGCTATGTCTTTCACAATCATCATTGTTTTGCAATTTTTTTTATTCTCAGGTAAACACTTTTCCATCACATTCAGGTTTTTGTGCCTAAATATTCGTACACAACCAAGTTAAACTCTCTTCTCATGACATATCTAAAGAAACGACTTCATCCTTATATATCCATTTAAAGTATTGTTTGTGCACTGGCTTTCTACAGAATTGATTTTGGTTGCCCATTTAAACCTCAGTAACGTTATGTTTTGAAATCCCCATCTACACTGATTCTATGGTATTCCTGCCAGTTCAACAAATGGAGGTAACTTTCTTTTGGATCTTAAGTTAAAACTTAGTATTCTCTAGATCAGGGGTTGGCTACCTTTTTTCATCCATATGCCACAGTTTGCCCACCCCTGCTCTAGATACTGCTGTTTGCTCTGCCACAACCCTTTCCTTCCATGTTTTCTGAGAAACTACAGGCAGATTTCTCAGGATGATGTAGAGAACATTCACGGATATCTGTCTACCTTAAAAAGAGGACTGGCATTTGCTTGTTCTTCTGCAACGTTATTCAAATTCTACCACAACAGAAAAGAAACTCTAATTAGTTGCCTCTTATAACATGCTTTGGTGGTGGTGTTGGTGGTAGTCTGGTAGTCTGAGTTTCAGCTTCATAGCAAACGGCACGCAGGCCCGTCTGACATGCGGCCCTTCTAAGCACTTATTTTTTAGAGTACCAATGCCTGTTATCAATAATGGTTGTTATTGATGTAATAAAGAAATATACATTATGGAATAATGTATACACACATCAATGTGTACACAATCTTACACACTCAAACACACACACACACACATACGTGTACATACTCTTACATTCTCATACATGCACACTCATATACAGACATATGTATACATACATGAATGCGTCTACATACATACACAAACATAAAAAACACACACATACATAGACAGACATACATACACACACACATTCCATACATACACACCTACACATGCATGCATACACACACATACAATCACATATACAGACATCCACAACCACACATATACTCACATGCATAAATACACGAACATGCATGCATACATACATACATACATACACACATCTATGTCTCAGCATATCTAGCATACACACGCATTAAAGCATACAGTAGCCATCCGAAGTGCTAACACAAACAGTCCAACATTAGAAATGCAGTTCATCATTGATGGTAGCAGAAGTCACCAACAGATCAGCAGTTGCCCACGCGATTAATTTTAATCACATTCGGAAACCACCAACAATGCGATGACAGGCATCACGCCACTTTCTGAATCTACAATTCACACCAACACACTGGTCACAATCAAAAAAACATTCCAAATAAAATCTGCAGCTCACAGTGTCGTGCCATGCATTCAACTCAGAAGCTGGGCAACGGAACTATATCCAGTCTACAAATGGAGGAAAAATGCATCCACCACCGTCTGGCAAAGGCAAAAAATTTGCCTCGGCTCCAAACAGTGCCCTTGCCTAGGGTACAATTTTACCGGAACACAAGATCCATCCTCCCCCTCCCCTCCCCCTTTTCACCACCACCACCAACAAAATTGGGCTGGATTTCACAGGAGCATATTTGCACACAAACAATCTTGTGATGAGATGGTATCAGTGTTTACAGTAGTTTAGAGAAGAAGATTGCAGGGATCCCTGGTCAGACAGGAAACAGATCCCACAGGTATAAAAACGAATGTCTTTGCCAACTCCTCACAAGGTTTAGTTGAGTAAATAATGATAAATAATAATTTTTGAAAATTATTGCAGTCCCAAACAAATTTTTTCAACAATAGTTAAAGAATAGATACAACTAAATTAGAGGATTTGACAGGAGTGTCTGGGAGAGTGGTTAGACTGCTCAGCTCTCATACAGGCGACCGATGTTCAAATCCTCAAAAACTTAAAAGAATTGTTTTATTTTGTCAGGGGCAAAAATAAATTCCTTAACCTGCAGTTTGTGGTGAATGTTCTAGCCATACTGCCCTAAATCTCTGGGTTGAAAATGATCCCACTCTTCCTACCCTACATCAAGATAAGGGTTTCCACATGGGAAAAACAATAAGAGCAGTAAAAATGTTAACACGTTTTTCTCCTGGTTCTCAATTCGGTACCTTTTCTGAATTTCCTGTTCAAGTTTCTTTTCAAGAATTTCACTGCGATGTCGCTCATAGGCCAGGTCTATTTTTGTTTGCTCCAGCTCTGCCTTAATTTTACTTGAATTCAGTTCACTTTCTGAAAATAAAATAAAAGCATTTACACACACTAACAAAATTTACACATTTAAATATAACCAAAGTCTTAAGGAAAGATTGAAACAAAAAATGAACAAAAAATGTATTTCTTTTTCATTCATCAGAGACATAAAAAAAATAGTTAAATTTTAAAAGGTTAAAGGCGTGAGGATAAATTTCCTTGTACAAGGTATTATTCCATATGCCTCGGTCTATCTACACAAAATGGTTAGCGGCCAGCTGAGTGTGCCCCATTATGAATGAACTTCGCAGCTCTGGCGACGACCAGGAATCTAAATAAAAATTGCATTTGTGAACCGAATGGTGTCAATGGAAAATATATACATCTTCCCTCATCTTCCATCCAGGTGTTCTTCTGTAGAAAGATTCATATACAATCTCAATGAAAGAATTGAAGGTAGCCGTTAGGAAGATTAAGCTGGGAAAAGCAGAAGGTCATGATGGTAGAACACCAGAGATGGTCAAATATTTGGGAGTCACAGGTGAACGCCTTCTACTGAAGGTTTTCCAGGCAGCCTGGTGTAGCAAATCTATACCAAAAGATTGGGAGATTGCCATCATTATACCTATATTTAAAAAAGGTGATAACAGACAATGTGAAAACAACAGAGGCATATCCCTCCTCAGCGTTCCTGGTAAAAGTTACTCTAGAATTCTCGAGCAGAGACTTAGAAGTCTGGTAGAGCTACAGCTGGGTGAGGCCAAACGTGGCTTCAAAGCAAACCGAAGTACTCAAGACCTTATCTTCACACTGAGATAGATGAGTGAAAAAGCCCTTGAATATACGAGTGAGATGCACCTATGTTTTTAGATCTGGAAAAGGCATTTGACAAGGTAGCCTGGAACAAGCTGTGGGACTGCTTAGCAGGGAAAAACATCCCAGCACCCCTGATCAGTGCAATACAGAGTTTCTACAAAAGCTGCCGAAATTATGTAAGAACAGCAGTCAGAAGAATTTAAGACCACCAGACAAGGTGATATTCTCTCACCTTACCTCTTCATTCTTATGATGGATGATGTCATCAAGACCTGTAAGGAGAAGACAAAGAAGTACTCTGTAGGGTACTGGAAGATGGGACCAATCTGTATATCAGAGCTGGCATTTGGAGACGATGTGGCCCTAATAGCTAAATCAGAGGCACACCTTCAGTCCAACTTACTTGTCTGGAAGGAAGAGCTTGAGAAAAGAGGGATGACCATCAGTATCTCCAAAACTAAAACCATGGTGATCTCAAGAGAGGAGAAGAAACACCAGATCATGATGGGACAGTATGCATTGGAGCAGGTCAACCAGTTCAAATACCTTGGAGTTGTATTAGACCAAAATGGAGGCATTAAGACTGAGCTGGCTACCAGAAAAGCAGCTCCAAGCTATAAACCGAGGGTTTCTTAGCAAAAGAGAAATTGGCAAGAGGACGAAAATGGCTGTTTACCGCTCTACCTATGTACCAGTCCTAACCTATGGGTGTGAGTCATGGGCAATGACAACAGCTCACAGAAGCCAGCTTTAGGCCTCAGAAATGAGATATCTGAGAAAGGTGGTCCAAGCGGCAAGAAGGGACAAAGTCTGCGATCAGACAAATGTCAAGATCTTGATACCCAGTCCTTACAAACCCGAGTGGATCAGTCACAGTTACGATGGTTTGGACATGCATGCAAAATGTTCGAAAATCGGCCACCATGGCAGGCTAAGAACCAGGTAACCAGACCTCCAGAAGGACCCAGGGTGCGCTAGAAAGACAACATCCGACAGTCCCTAACTGACAGAGGACTGGAATGAAACAAAGCCAGAAAGAAAACAGCTGATAGAGACATCTGCCAATCTCTCTGGCAAACCTTTACACCCCAAGGTAGAAGAGGAGCGACTAAGAAGTAAATAACAACTATCGCTGGACCAAGAAATCAACATCAGGTTAGGTAAAGCAGCAATAACAATTAGCAGATTAACAAAAAGAGTTTGAGAGAAGAGAAAGCTCATGATTAAAACAAAAACTCGTCTATCAGACTTGTGTTATCAGCACTCTGCTTTATGGCAGTGAAACTTGGTCAACTTATTCACACCAGGAGAAATGCTAAATAGCTTTCACATGTGATCTTCTTCTTCTTCAGCGATCTCTGGTCATGCGCACAATCCACTGTGGGTCATAAACTGGGATGTCTTTTCAAGATCTCTTAGGTTTCCCCAAAGCTTAGTTGTCAGGTTCTACTGGGAGTTGCCATATGTCGCTCCGCAGCTCCGCCAGGAGAGGACAGTCTTGCAGGACATATTCTGGAGTCTGTTCAGCACGAAGGCACCAACAGAGAGCTGTTTGGCTCATACCTAATTTATGTGAGTGTTTATTGAGTCTGCAGTGTCCAGTGCGTAAGCGAAAAACTGTGACTTGGTCTGTTCTGTTCAAGTGTTTCAGAAAATCTTTTTCGTATTTATAACCAGTGTTGGTTTTCCAATCTGTTTCTGATTTTCTCTTAATGAGAGTTTTGACTTCTGGTCACATGTGATGACTAAGAAGAAAACTTTGCATTAACTGGCCAGACAAGATCACAAACACTGAGGTACTGGAAGGAGCAGGTATTACAACAATTTTCTCAATGCTCAGTCTACGCATGCTCAGGTGGCTGGATCAATCCTGCAGAATGAAGGATGGCTGAGCCTCTAAGGACATCCTCTATGGTGAATTAAAGATGGGCAGAAGATGTTGAGGCCGACCTGTACTACGATATAAAGATGTGTGCAAATGAAACATGAATGATACAGGTACTGGGGTGGACTTGTGAGAACAAAATGCCATGGAATTTGGTGTGTGGAAGGGACATATTAGGAAGGGAAAGAGAATGAAGAAAGAAATGACTGCAAAGGATGAAAGCTGAGTGTCTGAGAAGAAACACACTAAATGCAAATATTGACAACAGCCCTGAAATCCAATGCTATAAATGTGAAAGACTTTTTTTAATGTGGGCGGTTCTTGCTAGTCACACTCACCATCACCATGGACTGTGAGTCCTTGGCCTCCTCATAGCACAATATAACATTATTGTCTGGAAAGACGGAAAAGTGCCAATAATATATAATATAAGGCAACTATGAACCTGTTTTAACTACAGTGATAAGGTGGAAAAGGCAATGGTACAGACATGAAATAAGATCTAATGGCCTCTCAAAATCCATACTATAGGAGGCAGTAGACAGGAAGAGGAGAAGAGACAGATCAAGAAAGACCTGGTTACAGAACTTGACTGAATGGACAGGTTTTAGGAATGCAACAATGAAGTACATCGCATCTGACCATCAAAGGTGGAGGGAGCTGATTAGATGGTCAACAGCAACTGGTGAGCCAAGGACATGCAGTATTACGGGATGATGATGATGATGATATGCCATTAAACTGATCATGTTTATCCAGTGATACAGAATTAATTTTGTGAAACAATCTTAATTTTTTTAACCGATGCCACCCTGCTAAATTCAGCTACCATTACTTAAGAATTGCTGCACAATTTCTAGCACTAAGCTATTTTATCGTACGTAAGTCTTCAGTTGCAGCCATCATGATGATCACATCACTCACTGAGGGTCAGTTTGTCTATAAAAATATTAGTCGACGACAAATCATTCTCAGGACTGTTTAACCATTGTACTGCCTGGCTGGCCACTCAGCAAGGCTTAACACAGGCAGAGTTAACTGTTAGCTATAATATCTTTCTCACATTTCAAATGTGTCGCTTATAGGTGGTCATACTGTGATGCCATAATTTACTAGCCTAAATTAATTTAAAGTAAAAATTGTGCTTTAAAGTGTGCTCTAACTGACAAATATAACAATGTGTGTATTCTGATAACTGTCATCCATCAGCATTTCTTACTATGTATATGTGGATCAACTTTTTTTTTTTAACAATGATCTTTAAATGATCAACTAGGACCTGCACATGTCTAAGCCATAAACTGCTACAACAACACCAGTAAAAGTAAAGGTCCCTTTTCCAGGCCTTTAGGCGTATAGGGCTAGACCTATCTTATTATAGACTATTCGGCACAAGATGGGTGATGTGGTCAGCATCACGCCGGCTACCTTTGCTTCCCGGGACTGCACACGGTACCCACTCAAGCCTGGGTCAACCTGATACATATTAAAACATGCACACACACTCACTAACACTTACTCAAAGTCTGGTTTTCAATCATCACCATCATCAGCTGCTCCTGAAGCTGATTCAGCTGATCCTCAAATATTTTACGCTCTTCTGGACTCTGCCATTTCAAAGTCGACATCAGTTCCTCGCTTGGGAAGGATGTGCAACTCTGGGTGTCTTCAGCAGCCATCTGCATCATGGCACCATAGTTCATGTCATAAGATGGTTCTATAACTTCAAAAATATCCTGTTCAGATCAAAGACAAGATGTGGCTATAAAGTGAGTAAATTCAAGGATTATGTGCAATCCACTCCTGGAGATGAAGGAAGAAAATCGGTGCTTTTGAGCTGAAATACAGAAAGATTCCTAGAATACCAAGATGGAAAGAAATAGAGACATTCTAAAAGATTTTAACATTGAGGAAAATTGACTAATAAACAGCATCAAATCTCAAAAGCTGAAATGCTTTGTTCATACCAAACACTGCAATGGCTTGGAAAGAACAATAATAGAAAGTATGACGTCCTGTAAGACAGACATGGGCCGACCAGTATTAACGTAGGCACATGACATAAGAGACACAGTAGGAGGGTAAATACAAGAGGAAGGAGAGCTGGCAAAGGACTGAGTTTCAGGCAAGCTGTGATGAAGTGATGTTTTGTAAAAGACCTGCTACATGATGACTAGCCTAGATCAGGGCTATTCAACTGGCGGCCCGTGGGTCAAATCTGGCCCACGAAGGCATAGCAAGTGGCCTGTGGATTACTGCAAGTTGTAGTGTATTAATGATCTTTCTATGCTGAGGCTTGGGTGGCATATGAGATCCCAATTTTTAACATCTTTGGCCCCTGAGTAAACTTAAGTTGAATAGCCCTGGCCTAGATCTTCAAGTGCTTTGGCGACTGGCTTCGGCAATCATGCATCTCCACAATCTGCAGTTGCTTGTATCAGTTCGTGTCTTGACAACCCTCCATGGAATGACAAAAGGCTGTCAAGAAACTTCTTGCATTGTCTTCCTCTGTCTCTCTTTACACAGTCGTCAAAACATTGATGTGTTAAAAGTGCATATGGCTAGTCTTAGAGAAAGGTCTAAAATATCTGCACACAACACACAACCTAGCATAAACATTCAGATAATCCACTCATCCTCTGAACAATTCTCCAATCAATACCACAAACATTTATAATAAGAACTCCACAGGGGAGCATGTACAGCAGGGGTCGACTGATCATCAGTAGAAAGATCCCTAGTCAACAATTTTTGTTGGTCCAATACTATTCCTATACAATCTCGGAAAGTGGGTCAACCTGGGTCATGACTCCCAGGCCTTAATCTTTCCCTGCTGCACTTTACCGGATGTTCTCGGACAGGGACAAGATGATGTGGTGATTTGTAACAGGTGTTGTGAGACTTGGCATTTAGACTCTGGCAGTCGACAGAGGGACATTGGCAGACATTTCGGACACTTTTGCTTTTTTAAGGGATAAGACGTTCTCTTCCACTAGACACTCGGACAGGTCTACCAAGGCCCACCCCTAAGACGTTCCGATGCGTCCAATAAAAGCAATCAATAAAAGTTGCACTGATCTCCTTGCTTTCAATGCAACTTTCCATAAATAAAAAATAATAATATTAAAATTTCACCATTAAGCTTTCCTAAAACCGATGCCACAAAAGTAATGTCTGCATTTATATACTTTTCTGTTGATCATCATTATCATCCTATTGTGCAATTACACATCACATAGGCTTCAGTCTAGTCCTCTATCGCATTCCATTCTGTGCAATCCTCTCTATATCATAGAGGGATCTGATTCAGTCTCAACAACATTAAACTCATGCTTTCTCTTAAACCTCTTATTTCCTATTTCAGTGCCTGTTTGGTGACTCTTTGTCCCCAATAATGTTCCCAAAATACTGTCACCTTCTTTGTCTTATAACTGATATAAGCGGTTTGCCTGAATGGCTTCTTATTATGCAAGTTTTTGCAGTATATTTATTTTTACAATGTGATGTGGCTGCTCCCCCTCCCCCCTTCTTTCACATCCAGGCTTGTGACAAGCAATGGTACCCACAAAAACATCTAAAGAATTCTTTAAGGGCATTAAGGCAACTGAGATGTGGTTCTTGTGAAGAATGTTGCGAATACCTTGGACTGCCAAAATAACTAACAATGATTGTTTGAAAATTTCTATTGAAAGTATACAACAGGGCTATTCAACTGGCGGCCCGCGGGCCAAATCTGGCCCGCCGAGGCCTAGCAAGTGGCCCACCGATCGTTGCCAAAACAGCGAAATGTACTTATTGAAAAGAACAAAGATTAAATCAATCAATGTTTCTATATATTCTTCAAAAACCAGTCGTGTCAAATGTGTCAATTGGAAGTGTTTGTCAGAAATCTGTAAATACGAAGGTACAAGGGAACCGGCATTCGAACAGAAAAAGTAACTAGATCAGGGTAAAAGTTCATTCCCAGTTCGCTCAAATAGCAAAAAACTAGCCTGTTTGAAGCCAAAGGTAATAAGATAGGCTGGAAAGAATCAAGTAACAAGAGGGAAGGCCACTGGACATTCAATGAAGGTGAGATATTTATTGGACAGGAGGCGTACGGAAATACTAGCACGGTCCTGACAGTTAGAGCTTAAATTACAGAGAATCTCTCCTTAATGGGCGCCGTGAACTAATGACATTGGATGCAGCAGAACATCAGACACTGGACATTGCAGAAAACCTGCTAGTGATTTTCTTATCAGATTATATATAATGTCCAGTCACAGTCAGACGTAGATTGTCGGACGCAATTGTACAGTAACAAACTGAATCAGTAACAGTGTTTTAAATTATCTACTTTTAAAAATTTAGTTTAAAACTTTATGCTTTGGCTAGCACTAGTAAGTGGGAATGTGAAAAACGTGCATTCAGCAGTGACTGGACACTGAAATATTTATTTATATCGCCAACTCTGCCTAATTCGAAACTTGTATGCTTGCCATTTTATTTCTTCAACACTGGACTCGGCAACATTAACCTTGATATAAATATTTTAAAAAGCTTTAGAATAATTTAAACAACAGATTTGACGACTTCAATATTCCAAAGAATGTAATGTTATTTGTTTGGGATCCTTTTAAAATCCCTCCTGCGTGTGATTTTTGTTCCAGTGCTAAGAAGTTCATATCCTCTGTTGATGAAGGTTCTCTGCAGTTAGATCTTGTTGATATGCAAAGTTCCAGCGCAGTGAATAAAGATTTTCAAGAAAGTGGTACAGTCAAGTTTTGAAAAGAGAAGATTCAACAGAAGCAGTTACCTAATGCTAGAAAACTTGCTGTATTCATACTCACCATGCCTGGCTCAATATGCACTTGTGAATCAAGCTTCTCACACATGAATGTCATCAAGACAAACAGTAGAAGCTCACTGAGCAACGATAGGCTGCAGAACTGCATGAGAATTGCTCTAACTTCTCACCAGCCAAATTTGGAAAAATTAGCTCAAAAACGAAAATGCAGCATTTCCCATTATTACATTTTGCATCGTTATACTTTTCGGTTTCTTCTGCAGAACATGAAACCAACTGTGGACAGTTATTATTATTATTGTGACAATGGTAACGTTTATTTATGATCCCATCGTGTATTTCAATTAAAAGTGATCCCCGTTTGGGTTCCGGGCCCCTATTGTGGGAAAACGAGAATAGACCCACTGCCTACCCAAAAGAATGTTGCAAGAGTTGACTAATTAGGAGCTTTCTTCGAAGTCGGAGTATATCTGCCTGAGAGCCAAGTCTGCATGCAAATGAGTAAGACGTGTAAAACGGATCTGTACGCAACACTCAGTTTCTGGAACAGGACTAGAGTCCAGAAGTAGATGTACAACCAATACTTTCAGCTGGAGTTTACAGCCGGTAATTACGAAGAAGAAGAATTAAAAGTAAGTATTAATTAGTCATTACAGAAGATTGTTGTACACTTTACATTATAATGGTTTACAACACTGCTACATTTATATAGGCTAGGTCCTAGGCGTAAGTTTTCGAATGTATTAAATCTACAGATTGAAAATGTTGTCAATTGTAGTGTGGGCTCTGGCCACTGGCCCGTGACGGTCTCCATGTTCAACATTTTGGCCCGTGAGCAAACTTAGTTGAATAGCCCTGGTATACAACAATGAGATGGAGACAAAGTCATGTGGTCGGATGATGAGAAAAGGAGCACTGGAAAATATTGTGATGACTGAAAAGATCACCGGTAAGAGAGGCAGAGGTAGACTAAATGATGGTGAATGGGTTAAGATAGTGGCATGAACGAATATAGTCAGTGGAATTGATCCAGAACACCAAAGACCGAGATCTGTGGAGAGACACGAATACCTACACCAGCTGGCAAAGCACTGGATGATGATCAGGATAATACCCTATAAGGCATGTTTTCAGAATTAATGAATGGTTAAAGTAACAGTAGCTGTTTAGGAGAAACTGTAGTTGTGTGAAATGTTAATTCTTGGAAATAGTTTGAGAAGTGTGGTGACCTGTGTCATTCCTCACCACCTTTCCTGACCTAAAAACTCCTAGAAAAATCTTAAAATTATGTGGCACACATTTTTTAATTTGGGCAAATGTAGAGGTGCAATGGTCAACAACAAAATCCTGCTACTCTTTGAAAATGAACATAGACCACTATCTTGCTGATAAAGAAGCACTTTACCACTATGTTACTACTCACAAAATAAAATAAACACAAACACTGAATGGACAGAGACAAATTTCTAGTGATGAAGAAAAATGTCATGACATTTGCAATATTCAGACTGACTAAAAATGTGCCCACCTAAGCATTTCAAAATGTCACAGAAATTCGCTGAATTTTACACGAGATTTCTCGGACCGCTGTATCAGTTTTTATCATTCCAATTTGTATGTGCAATCAGCAAGTGTATTCACAGAGGCACAGTGGTTAGTGTACATGCCTGCCAAACAAGGTTCTGTGCTAAATATTAAATTTTTTTCCAGACAAGTACAGCTCTTGGGGAACAGCGGTGGTGCAGCAGCCAGATGCTTGTCTGTCGGCCCTAGGGTTGAGATCTGGATTGGGGCTGATTGTTTTCAAAACTGACCTAGGTTTCCCAGGTCAGTGCTGTCTAACATTTTTACCAGGCAATGTCCCAGGAAGAAAAGGCAGCTAGCATTATGCTGACCACATCACCCATCGAGTGCCAACTAGTCTATAAAAAATGTAAGTATAACATGTTAAAGAGCCCTTTAGTTTACTTTTCTACAACTCTTGGGTCTACCCAGCCTCATACGAATGGGTACCATGTAAAAGACTAACACTTCACACACCCACAGTACTAACTGTTATGGTAAAGGAAGTCTCATTACCGGGGAAGGGGGTCCTTGAAGAAGAGGTTGGTACGCACCACAAAGCATCTAATTAAGGTGCCGGTACTCTTCATAAATGTCTATTTTAATAGCATTTGAAACGATGCTGCCTTTAAAAAAGGGGCAGGTACTGTGTACCACCAGAAAAAAGCCCTGTTCTCTGCAGATTATTAACCTACTATAAACCACTTAATATGGAGTGGGGCAGCCAGTTTAAAGTAGGCAGCGCCTTTCTTTCTCAGACTATTTCTGGAAAATAAAACCCACCATGAAAAAGACTAGATTAATGGTAAAAGTGGTTACAGGAGATGTTTATCAGTATGTTCTGATCAAAGGTATAAAGTTGAAGAATAAATTATGTGAATGCCTGGGGTTCAAGGTGAAGAGCTAGCTACACATCATTAACACTGTTTAGGACTAAAAGTGTAGTGGCTTTTTGTGAAACACAAATCTCTAGTTGCACCATGAAGAGTTAACTTACTTCTTCTGGCTGTAAATGCAGCTGAGAGTTCCTGTTCCCGTCTCTCGTGTCTTTAATCCGATCGTCGCGATCAGATTTTGTGAAACGTTGCCGTAGACTCTTCAATGAGCTCATATTTTGAGCACTTCAGCATGAAATGCTACCTCTGTTCAGCATCGCACTAAGCTACATTACAAAGTGAATTATTCTTTCACTGGGTACACATACCTCATGATACTCCTTCTGAATCATTTTGACCACATAATTACTGAAAGTGTAAATCTGTTTTAGTTTACTACTATTCCACTATTTAAAGTAAAAGAATGACAACTGCAACAACGGTAGTGGCTGGTATATGTAAACTGACATCCTGTATCCTAAATGAATTATCAAACAGAATACAGAATGCTCCAATTATACCCCAGTCCCCTGAACAAAACAGCGTTTTTTATAGGTACATTAATAATGGGAGCTAAGGCAGCACGTAGTAGCTATATGCTTTCCTGCCTGTCTGAAGGTCTTGGGTTCAAATCTGCATTGAAATTTACTTCTTCAAATTTACCTTGACTCCCAGGCTGATCCAGATGAAAATTAGGGAAGTAAAGGTGGTTGGCATGTGATACTGAGCCCAAATCCAGTGAGTGCTGACTGATCTAAAAATGTATGATTGTAGCATCGTATGCCTGATGTACCACTGGCCTAGATTCTTCTCAGGATGTGTCCAAGTTTGATGCTTCTCTGCTAGCTTCTTATCAGGGTGTGTCCAAGTTTGATGCTTCTCTGCTAGCTTCTTATCAGGATGTGTCCAAGTTTGATGCTTCTCTGCTAGCTTCTTCTCAGGGTGTGTCCAAGTTTGATGCTTCTCTGCTAGCTTCTTCTCAGGGTGTGTCCAAGTTTGATGCTTCTCTGCTAGCTTCTTCTCAGGGTGTGTCCACTACAACGCCATCTTCTCTGTCTTATAATTGCTGAAACAGTGGTTGCGCAGACATGTATCTTATTTCTTCACTTTTTTTTTTAATTCATCCCATTTTATTTTCATCATTTTCATGAGGCATTTGTTTTTAAATGCATTTAACTTTTATTCCACATCTCTAGTGGTTCTTTAACTTTCACTGGCATATGTTAAAACTGAAATAATTGGAAATATGTAACTTGGTTTTAAAACTATACAATTTAGAGTTCTATATTTTGTTCAAACTATTAAAAGCTGCCTTGTCAATGTGTGACATAATTTCTTTCTTTGTATTTCCTTCAATATAAAAATTACTATCTAAAAAAGTAAACTGACCTGTTACTTTAATTACTTTTGTCCCTAGTGTTACAGATGCTTGATTTGTTGTTGGTGTCTTCAATATATTTGCCTTCTCATAACTTATCTGTTTACTAATAGAACAATTATTATTTATAACAATAACACACTACTATAATTATTGTGATGCACAGCAACAATACTAACTATGACAATTACCACAAATCTATAAGAGCATTTGTTATCTCTGTCTGTTTCCAAACACAGTAAGCATGATGGGGTTAATTCATGTATCAATTAACAGGTTGTGTATATTTTTACATCCAATGTTATCTGAAGAACTCTGACAACATATTTGTTTCCTGCCAGCGTTGTACATTTGGCCCCTCTGGAAGTAGAATTCCCATAAGTTTAGTGCTGCCATTTGTAAATCCCTAGGACATTAGCTAGGACCTTGTGGGACTGAAAGGGTTAGCAGATACTATAATTTATTAAACTGTGTTTATCTTAAAAAGTATGTTATTCTTACTTTTTTTCACAGGCAGAACCACATACTCTAGTGAACTAACTAACTGGAAGGTGACCACAGAGCAGACCAATACAAACATCCAACAAAACCAACCGCTAGCCATCCAAACTACTAAAAATACTCCAGCAGCATCAGTTGATTATTAAACGTTCGAATGAAACACTAAAATGAAAAGAACTTTTATCTATGAATGTAGGGGGCTGCGTGGGCTCGAGGCATGGTATCCGCCTTGAGTGCTAGAGGTTCCGGGTTCAATCCCCGGTAAAGGCTGGGATTTTTTTACATGGACTGGGACTTCTAGTAATTCTCCCTGGTCTCTGGGTAGTGAGATCGGATGCCCGTGTGCATTCCTGCACACGTAAAAAATCTCTTAGCTATTGAAAATCGAAAATAGTAGCCTAACGGCGCTGCCCGGGCAAAATTTTGAGTTGAAAATCTGCCCAAAGAATTTCAGGATCCTCGCCGGTGCTACAGAGCTTGTGCGCTGTGCTGAGCTTTTTTGGACAGACTTGAGTTAGAAGAAGAACGGAGCACTTATGGGTTACTACTCGTGTGCCACTGTTCAAAACCTCAGAAACCTTTATGAATGTAAGAATGCAACAAGGGTTGGTTTTTAAATCCATACCCAACATCATAACTGAATTATCAAAAAACACAATGAAATATCCTAATTATAACACTGTCAGAGGAACAGGGTCTAATGTTTATTCATATGGTGGACTACAATTATCAAGAATCTGTAAGAATACATGCAAGCAGATACTATTTGTTATCCCACAGTGTTTTTCTTAATAAAGTTATTATTCTTTCTAGGTCACTCAGACCCGCAATTTCAACTGCTGTCTTTTGTAATGATTTATCTACTACTTATACTATAAGTAACTACCCTCCCCCCCCCCCTCCCCACCCTTTCCCCCTCCAATAAACGGAGTATCAGACACTCACCCGATGAAACCAGTTTTATATAATAATTGTAACCTTATCTATTAAACAGGATATTGTAGTAGGTTTATTAGTTCTACTACAGCTACAATAAATTATTATTTTTTTTATCTATAGGAACATTACTCATTAACTCATTACTAGTAGTACTAACTATTACTAGTAGTTATAAGAAGTGTATACTGACTTCACTATACTCTACTATACTCTACTATAACTTCCTTCCGTTTGCTAATTTTATTAACTCTGTTTTTAAACACATTTATTATTACTATTAGATCCCAATCATTACCAAAAACCACACTTTTGTCTTGCGAGCACTGTTTGCTACTACTATAATAATTTTGTTTTTATTTACGAAGTAACAAGCTAGGGGGTCGCTTCCATCAAACAACAACCGACACACATCCAACGAAAACTAGGCGCTAGCAGCTCAACTTACTCAACTAAAAATTTTCCACCTGTCTCAGTTTAATAATAAAATGTCTACTAAACGTCCCAAGCTAGATTTCGCCGGCAATTAAGCAATGAATCTCATAAACCAGTGAAGAATTACAGCGATAACGACGAGAAAAACACAGCCATGTTTACAAACTGCAGGAGAGGAAAATACTGGCTACCTATCTAAGATGTTTCTGTGTTGGGGAGATTTCCGGCAACTTGTGAACTATGTGACGTCACTGGTACCAGGCTGGAGGTTTTGAGGAAGGCACATGTCGAAATATGGCCTTGTGATTAATTTTTTTTTTTTAAATTGTTCTTTTGTTATTATTACCTTTAGGTTTTGCGGAGTTTACAAACCGGTTAACACTAAGAACATAAGCGGAAAACTCCTTTCCTAGGTGTTTTAAATTCATTCAGTAGAGGTCCCTCGCAAGGTTGAAAAACTCATTTCTATGGTGGTTACCTTTAGTTTTTTGCGGAGTTTACAAACCGGTTAACACTAAGAACATAAGCTGCTTGAAAACTCATTTTCTATGGTGTTTTAAACTGCCTAATAAATATAAATGCAAGGGTTGGGAACGTCTTAAAACATTGGAATATGAAGTTTTAACATTATCATTACCTTCTGGTAGTAATATCATCTTGTAGGTAGTTTCAGCAGTTAATATTAAATCAATCCGTATTGCTTTTATATTTAACATCATCATCCAGGTAGAGTAAACACCATCTTCTGGGTTGCTTTAACATTTTACATTGTCAACGTCCGGGTAGATTTAACAATCATTTAGCTTCGTGGTTTCAATATCGTCATGTAGATAGTTTTAACATTCACATCGTGAAGATGTTCATTGAAATGAGAGAAATTCAACCCTGACAAGATGTAGAACTGGTCGGTTTAAAAAAAAAACAATAATCATTAATCACAATGAACGTTACAGTGAACCCCAATGAATGGGGTTAGAAATCCTTCATAAATGCAATCATAAATGCAGCTAAATGACAACTTTACATACATACATACACACACATACATACATACATACATACATACATACATACATACATACATACATACATACATACATACATACATACATACATACATACATACATACATACATACATACATACATACATACATACATACATACATACATACATACATTCATACATACGTACGTACGTACTTACGTACGTCATTAAATAATGAGACTGATTTAATTATGGTCAATTTAAAAAAAAAAAACTATTAATGAAACAAAGCATGTCATTCATAAACGCCTGTTTATTTGTGGTGTGGTCAAAGTGTAACGCCGCCTGGTCAGCATACCACATATAACGACCCACTGTGTTTAACTGGCGAGAGTTGCTTGGTTACTTCTGCATAGAGCAAAGATCTAACGTTAAACTATCTTGCAAACTTGAGATAGTACGCTTGAGGCAGTTAAATTGCTGAAAAAGGTACGAGAAGATCAATGATCATCAAATTCAACACCAAATTTATTTGCGATCATTCACATATCAAGACATGGATCTTCGTGTGTCCGTTTTCTGAGTTTCCAAGTGAGTTCATCGTCGCGAATAGAAATTGGAAGTTCTAGTCTAGTTTCATCTTTAATCTTTTAGACATCAATTTTAAATAGTGAATACCAGCTGAATATACATGCTCGACACTGGGTCTATCCTCTCTTCCACATATGGGACCCAGCGACCCACACGAGTATTATACCGTCTCCTCTGGTATCGGACACTGCGATTCTCCAGTCGCCATGTTGCTGTTGTTAACAAATAGCACCAAAGTACACGGAATGGTTTTTTGTTTTTTTTTTAAACGTTTTTATTACTGGTAATGATACCAAGATCCTTAAGGAGGTCTGCGTATTTGGAGATCATTTATCGGTTTGTCTACTTCTGTATTCAGCGTCCTTGCTTTGTTTTTACATCGGCACACATTTGCGAATTTTTTTTTTT